AACTGCAAAGCTAAGTAAAGTTTAGAATGCAGGGTGATTATGTGGTGATATTTTGTTTGCAATCTAACAGTTTGCCTGGAGATCAGAGGGTGGAGCTAGTCACACTAGTTAGTCATAGCTATCAGGCAGTGGTGGCACAAACCTTTAATCCCAGTACTTGGGAGGCAGAGTGATGGGAGATGTCATTCTGTAAATATGTTTCTCTTATTGGTTAATAAATAAAGCCCTATTGGCCAATAGGAAAGCAAGATAGGTGGGACGAGGAGCCATGGAGGATTCTGGGAGATGTAGTAAGGAGAGTCAAGATGTAGGGACTTGAGAGAAGTCCGGACCCTGTCTCTAGTAAGATAAGACCATGTGGAAACACTTAGATTAATAGAAATTGGTTAATATCTAAAACAGAGCTAGCCATTAAGAAACACTAGTAATAGGCCAACAGCTTTATATCTATCTAATACAGTGTCTCTGTGTGTAATTTGGGGCTGACACAGCTGTGGGACCAGGCTGGTGGGAAAACTGCTTGTAACAGCAGAGACAGGCGAATATCTGTGAGTTTGAGGCCACTTTGGGCCAGTCTAAAACAGAAACACAAGATTGGTCCAGTCTAAAACAGAAACAGTCTGAGGACTGGGAGGGACAGGATCGCTGGCTCCTTTAGCCTGAGGATTCAGTAGAGGTGAGAACTAGTGGCTGCTGATCTGCTTCTCCCATCCCTCAGCTTTAACCCCGATAGGTGGCTCAGGATTTTCATTATTAAGGCCAATTAGAATTTGTACTACATGATTCGTTTCACTTTAGTGATATCTGACACATCCTTCTGAGACTGAGGCTTGAGGTGGTACAATTAATCCCAGCAGTCAGGAGGCAGAGGCAGGTGGATCTGAGTTCGAGGCTACCTTGGTCTACAGAGCGAGTTCCAGGACAGCCAGGAGCACACAAAGAAACCCTGTCTAGAATGTGCCCCACCCCCAAAGTATGGAATCTGGCAAGGCATGGTCACACAAGCCTTCAAGAGGCAGAGGCAGAAGATGACTACAAGTTCAAGGCCAGCTTACTCTACCTAGAGAACCAAGAGACAGCCAAGGCCACACAGATTCAAAACAAAAGTATCAACTTTACAACAAAAGGTAATTTCCTAAAGTGGTTGTTTGTTGGGCAGGCTTGTTTTCTCAGTTGTGAAGTTAAGAAAAGAACTATAAAAACACTACCCCCACCGCTGCAGCACTGGTTGTGCTCTGAGCACTTGCAAGGCCCTGTATTCAGTCTCCATATTTACACAGACTCACAAAATTAAAAGCACGATGGCAAGTGAGTGAGGTCAGTCAGCTTCCTTTGTTTATATCTGTTTTTTTTTTTTAATGTATATGAATGTTTTGCCGCCTTTAATCCCAGCACTCAGGAGGCATCTCTGTGAATTAGAAGCCAGCCTGGTCTACACAGCGAGTTCCAGGACAGGCTCCAAAGCTACACAGAGAAACCCTGTCTCGAAAAACAAAACAAACAAATAACAACAAAAAAAAAATGGACAAGTCTGATGATTTTCAACTCCACAGGAGTTTATGACGTTCACCATTAACACATGATAGACTCAAATACTTCCCACAAAATATCTGTTGCTAAATACTACATCAAATAGCCAAGGCTTTACACAACACACATTTTAATCACTTCACCCACCTAAACCTTTTGCTTATTTTCAGTTACAATGTAGTTTAGCTCATTCCATGACATGTCTTACTGAGGTTGGGTGGGTTAAAAAAAAATCTTGAAATTTTTTCTTTAATTACTCCAGAGTATATGTAATATCTAATTTTTCATTAATTATAAAGTATAAAGTCTGGTCTTATGAATAAAAAGTAACAGCAGAGTGTACCGACCTCCTATATGTCTGACTTTTTAGAAAGGCACTGGGATTTGAACTTAGGTTATCACTCTTGCTCGACAAGCACTTTTACCAACAATACCTTTTTCCAAGTCTATGTGCGTCAGAAGCAGGGTGGGGGTAGGGATGGGAGGTGTCTTTGCAGATGCCTCCACCAGCAAAGTAAAGATCCACATGAGACAAGATGGAAATCAGATTCATCATGACTCAGTACCTGGTGTTGATTCAAACTTCTAGAGTCTGACACCAGGCAGCTTATTTTAGGCATATTTAAGTATTTAAGCACAATACAGTCTGGGGGGGGTTCCTGTATGAACATGAAGGCATGATTGATTACATTGAAACTTCTCAAATTCAGCGGCACTTTTTCATGAAGATGAGTTCTAGAAATAGGCTCTAAGTGTTATCTTAAGGGCCTAGGGGAGGATCTGGTGTGGCCTCAGTCATTCAGATAGCACAGAGGTCATCTAGACTATTAGCTACCTCTGGCCCTAGCTGTGGGAGCCTGGGGGAGCTTCTGCCACACAGATAGAGCAAGGATAACTTGGGCTATTAGCCACTTTCATCCCCAGCCTTCTGGGCAGAAATCAGTTATACATCTCATCCACTGAAGAAACAGCCTGTGTGTTTACTAATACATACCTGATTTCCTTAATGCTTATTTGTGAGCACAAGAACCTTTGTGCTCCCAACACCTGTCCAACTTTTGCAGGGTCTCTCTCCTGTAGCCCAGACTGGCCTTGAACTTATCCCCTGCCTCAGATTTCCCAAAATTTTGGGTTTGTATGCTTGTGTGTGATGTCTGGTTTACAATATAAGATTTTTAGAGGATACACCTAAATTTATTTCACAGAAAATCTACCATATTTCTTTGCTGAGCAAGGGTAAGTACCCACAATACTAGAGTTGGCTTTGTTAACAAAATACAGGTTGGAGGGGGTGGGAGAGATGGCTCAGCTGTCAAGATTATATGAGTTTAGTTCCCAGCACCAGTTCCTGGGGATCTTCTGACTTTCTTGGGCATCAGGCACCAAGTACCTGGCACCATACACGGGTGCACATACTTAGATATAGGTAAGACACTTCCATACATAAGAAAAAAATAGAGCTAAGTGGTGGTGGTGCATGCCTTTAATCCCAGCACTCAGAAGGCAGAGACCAACAGATCTCTGTGAACTTGAGGCTAGGCTGTTCTACAGAGTAAGTTCCAAGACAGCCAGGGCAACACAGGGACACCCTGTCTCTAAACAAACAAACAGAAATACAGCTTGGAGCTGGGCATGGTAACACTTGCCTTTAATTCTAGCATGTGGGAGGCAGAGGCAGGTGGATCTCTGTTCCATGCCAGCCAGGGCTACATAGTGACACCCTGTCTCTAAAACAAAAGAAGTTGGGAAACAAAGCCAAGAAAACAAAAAAACAAACAAACAAAAAACAAAGATGCTCTCTGACACTAAGTTGTAGACAATTCAAGTGTGACCTTTAAGTGGGATAATAGTTCTCAAGCTTGTTGCATCTCCCCCTTTTAAAAGATTGATTTACTTTAAAAACTTGTGTTTTGCCTACTTGTGTGGATGGGCATTCTGTACCCGAGTCCACAGAGACATGAGAGGATGTCAAATCCTTGAATTCCCTGGAACTGGAGTTACAGATGGTTATGAGCTACCATGTGAGTCCTAAGAAATGAACCTGGGTCATTTGGAAGAACAGTTAGCATTCTCAACCATAAGGCCATGTCTCCAGCTCCTTGTTGGCATTACTTTTTTGTTGTTTTTTTTTTTTTTCAAGATTTTTCTGTGTAACCGTCCTGGTGTCCTAGAACTCCATTTGTAGACCAGGCTGGCCTCAAACTCATAGAGATCCTCTTCTGCCTGTACCTGCCAAGTGCTGGGATTAAAGGCATGTGCCACCAATGCCCAGCTTTTGTTGGCATTTCTTAACATGTACTAAGTCTTGTTTAGCCTTCAAATTTTATGAAGTTCTCTTTGATATGATGTACGATCAGTAGAGCTGCCTGAAAGGATATTGAGTTCTTTTGTTGTTTTGGTTTTGTTTTTTGAGACTGGGTTTCTCTGCGTAGTCCTGCCTGTTCTGGGACTCTTTCTGTAGACCACTGAACTCACAGAGATCTGCCCCTCTCTGCCTCCCAAGTGCTGGGATTAAAGGCAGTGATGGTACATGCCTTACTTTGACTACTGAGTGGCAAACAAGGCTCCAAGACAGGACTTTGAGTACATATACCCTTTCCTAAGTACCGCTACGATTGGGGGAAGATACATGATTTCTGGGCATGAGATATATATGAGATTTCTGGAGGTGAGATATATACACATAACACCTGTGTATATGCATGTTTGTATGGTGTTGCATGTGTATGTGTGCATCTGCCTCCTGTGTACCTGTTGAGGCCATAGGTCAATATCAGAAGCTAGCTCTGTAGACCAGGCTGGCCTCAAATTCAGAGATCCACCTGCCTCTGCTTCCCAAGTACTGGAATTAAAGGCACAAGCCCCCACACGCCAGCAAGAGACAGGGTCTCTTACTAAAACCTTACACACATTGGCCACTTTAAGCTCAGTGGGCCTGCCTATCTATGTCCTTTCCATTTGGGGTTTAGAGGTGTTATGCCTTGGGCCCTAAACTCATATTCTCATGCTTGGGCAGCAGGCACTCCACCCACTGAGTCATCTTTCCCATCAAGTGATGTTTACTACAGGTGCCTATACATATCTCCTTTTTCACTTTGCATAGAGCCAGAGGGAAGTGAGAGTGGCTTTCCCCAGTCAGTTCCTAGCTCTGTCTCCATTATCTTTCCACCACCAAATTCTCAGTAAGTGTACATTATCCAGGAAGGAACTTGGTGAGGGTGGCAGCGGGCACTTCAGCCTTGTGCCACCGGTTGATGCAAAGCAGCTGTGAGAGGGTAGCCACAGATGCTCTGCTGTCCCTTCAACCTTAAGGGAGACCGACAGGGGACAAAAGGTGTGTGCCCTTAGGGAAGGCCTCAGATCTAGAGGAGCCTCTGCCCCGGACCGCCTCTTGGCTTTGAGCAAGGGGTGGAGCTTGCCGGGGCGGAACCCCTGAGGCGGGAACCTCTGAGGAGTGAGTGCTGTAGTTCTCCAGGACCAGCACCGCGTGGTAGTCGCAGCACTCCACAGCCCGCAGACTTTGGACTGTCAGAGACATGGTCTGTATCCAGAAAGAGCGCGACGGGACCTCTCCTGTAGTTGGTGCCGAGTATGAACTGGGAGCATCGTGCACGCCCGGAAGAAGGCAGTGGGGGCCAGGCCGCTCTGTGTCTTTAAGAATGCTCTCTTGCTCATAACAGAGATCGTGAGTAAGGTGACCCCTAATCCCAAGAGAAACCTTTCGTTTGGGTCTTTAATTGGGCCAGGAGAGATGGGTGACAATACGCTTTCCGGGTGTGGAATTTGGGGAAGTTACTAAAGGTAGAGGGGCCTCCACTTTGAGGCAGAGCCTGCTGCGGCCCCGGTAATTTTGAACAGGGTTCATGGAGAGGGCAGTTGGGCTCAGTTCCAAAGAGAGGAGAGCCCCTCACCTGAACTTGATGTCCATGGTACACTACCCTTCATGGCTCAGGACGCGCAGTAGCTGGTGAATTACTGGGGTGAAGGCAGGAAGTTTCAGGCTTCAGTGGTTGAGTGGGCGGGCCAGCGAATCTCTGCTGCTGTCTGTCGTTTGGGTCTTGGCCACTCGGTTCTGCAGGCTCTCTCCTGAGCCGAGTGTGTAACTGGGCCGATGACCACCGGCTACCCTGCCTCAGAACCTCACATTGCAGTAACAAGGAGCTGGCAGCACAGCGCCTGCCTGACTGCTGCAGGGCCGAGTGGTGAGGCTAAGTGGTCTAATCACAAAGGGTAGGGTTGTGAAGTCACAGAGGAAGTGGGATGCTGCAGCTAGGGACTGAGGCTGGCTACTCAAGAATGGGGAAGATATTGCCCAGACAGATTCTGTGTTTTCTGCCCGTGGAAGGGAGCCTCTGGGACTGGCTGGGCATACCTGGTGCCCAAGGTGGACTGATGAGTCGGGTGAGGCCACCCCACTGTAAGGGTCCCACTCCCCGTATTATACTGGAATAAAAACAGTCTCGTGTCCACCCTCTGGCAGCGTAAATACCACCCACAGTATATGGAAGGAAAGCAGGTGACTCAGGGTACACCCTGCTGTCGCCACTTCCCTTCCCTGAACCTCCTCTGAGGCAGACCACTCTTCTCCGTGCAAACTCAGCTCTGCACACTTTCCGTCCCTCTTGAGTAGTTGGCACCCAGGATTTGAGGTACCAGGGCTCTGGGGACTATGTGCTGGAGAAAGTCACCACTGATCCCCACCCTCCTACTTGTCCAGATGCAGAGGCCTCCATGGCTGTGATAAGCCTGCTGTTCTTGGCAGTGATGTATGTTGTTCACCACCCCCTGATGGTCAGTGACCGGATGGACCTGGACACATTAGCCAGGAGTCGGCAGCTGGAGAAACGGATGAGCGAGGAGATGCGGCAGTTAGAGATAGAGTTTGAAGAGAGAAGGCGGGCAGCTGAGCAGAAGCAGAAAGCAGAGAGCTTCTGGAGGGGAGACACATCCAGTGACCAGTTAGTGCTGGGGAAGAAAGACATGGGGTGGCCCTTCCAGGCCAGTGACCAGGATGGGGGCCCTCTGGGCTGGATGCTGGGAAACCTGTGGAATGCAGGCCTCTTCTGCCTTTTTCTCATCTTTGAGCTCCTGCGACAGAACATGCAGCACGAGCCAGCCTTTGACTCCAGCAGCGAGGAGGAAGAGGAAGAAATCCGGATTGTGCCTGTCACCTCTCACACCTGGCTCTCTAATTTTCCCTCCCAGGAAGCCCTGGAATCCTTTTACAAACATTATATCCAAAATGCCATCCGTGACCTGCCCTGTACCTGTGAGTTTGTGGAGAGCTTTGTGGATGATCTCATTGAGGCCTGTCGGGTGCTCAGCCGCCAGGAGGCTCACCCACAGTTGGAGGACTGCCTGGGCATTGGAGCTGCCTTTGAGAAGTGGGGGACCCTCCATGAGACACATAAATTTGATGTCCTGGTGCCCATTGTCCCGCCACAGGGTACTATGTTTGTCTTGGAGATGAGAGATCCAGCCCTGGGCCGTCGTTGCGGCTGTGTGAGAGTGGACTCCAAATGCATGTGCAAACACGAGAAGCTCCTGGGGGATGTGCTGTGCCTGGTGCACCACCACAGGGACCACTCCACCATCTTGAGCAAGTGTACTAGCTCCCTCAAGGCAGCTCTCTGCACTGGCTCGCACCTGGACGTGTGTAAGACTGTGCAATGGTTCCGAAACATGGTGGGCAATGCCTGGGCCCTAGTGGCCCACAAATACAACTTTAAGCTCACCCTCCCGCCGTCTACCACCTCCTGCAAGCTCAGGTTGGATTACCGCTCAGGCCGCTTCCTGTCTATCAGTTTGGTTCTTGGGGTGCAACGGGAAGACACCTTGGTCTACCTGGTGAGTCAGGCCCCTGAGCGAGAACAGCTCACCAGTGTGGACTGGCCTGAGTCCTTTGCAGCTTGTGAACACTTGTTTCTGAAGCTGGTTGGGCGCTTTGCCCCTGAGAACACCTGCCACCTCAAGTGCCTGCAGATCATTTTGAGTCTTCAGGACCATCAGATGTTACCCCCGGGAGCCTCCCGCCCCATCCTCACCTCCTACCACTTCAAAACAGCCCTCATGCACTTGTTGCTACGGTTGCCTCTGACAGAGTGGCAGCACAGCATGCTCTCTCAGAGGCTCCAGGACCTTCTCTGGTTCTTAGGGCAAGGCCTCCAGCAAAGGTCTCTCCACCATTTCCTCATTGGTAACACTTTCCTGCCCCTGACCATACCCATCCCTAAGACATTTCGTAATGCTGAACCTGTTAATCTTTTCCAACACCTGGTGCTAAATCCAGTAGCACACTCACAGGCAATGGAGGAATTCCACAACCTTCTGGCCCAGGTGAAAACTCTGCCTTGCTCCTCACAGCCTGGAGAACTTTAAAGGAAAGCCAATTAAAAGGAAAAAAAAAAAAAAATAGGAGAGGGTATTTCTGATTCCTCAGGATGCAGAGTTTATTTCTAACCTAACCAGAGGTGTATGTAACCCTCACCTTGCCCATGGGGACTGTCACACAGTAAATCACTCTTAGAAGCATGTGAAGAAGGCTACAGCTAGTGAACCCCAGTCTGGGGATCGGGGTGGGGGTGTCAGTGGCTGATGTTTTAGAACCCTGGCGTTAGTGAAAGTGCATGGAAACAGCTGCCATGGGAGGAGTTTGCTGCTGAGGAGTGGAGGTCCTGTTAAGTTGCGTTTCGGTATCACCATTGGAAAGCAGAAGCTCCAGAGAGATCTCCACCCTAGCTAACTTCTTTCTGTGACTTGCTCCATGTTCCCTTTGAAATGGCTTCTTACACTGTTTAATTTCCACCCAAATTGATGCATTCCACTTTCCTCCCTCGAATCTACAGCTACAGTTCATACTTTAGAATGTAAGGTTTCATAACTTAATTAGTTTAAAAATATAAACAAGATATCACTTTTCTATTTTTTGGTTTTTTTTAGCTGGGTCTCACTATGTAACCCTGGCTGGCCTGGTACTCGAAGTGTAGACCAGGCTAGTCTTGAATGCAGACATCTGCCTATCTCTGCCTCCCAAGTGCAGGGGTTAAAGGCATGCACCACCACCACCTGCCTTTTTTCTTTTCTTCTGTTCTTCCCTTCCCTCCTCCTTTCTTTCTTTCTTTCTTTCTTTCTTTCTTTCTTTCCTTCTTTTTTTTTTAAAGACAGAGTTTCTCTGTGTGGCCTTGGCTGTCCTGGAACTCTCTGTAGACCAGGTTGGCTTCGATCGAACTCAGAGATCTGCCTGCCTCTGCCTCCCAAGTGCTGGAATCAAGAGTGCATCACTCCCACCCACTGACTTCTATTTTTTTTTTTTTTGTTGTTGTAAATTCCTTGCCTGTCCTGAACTTGCTTTGTAGACCAGGCTGGCCTCAAACTCACAGAGATCTGCCTGCCTCCCTATTTTCATACAAATTTATAGCTGTGGTTATGTATCTGAGAAAATCCCTAGTACTACCCAAATATTTGTTAGTCTTGAGTATTAAGTATTAAGTTAATGGCGACCCATCCCATAATTGAGATAACATAAGCAATAAGCAACACCTGACGACCTTTCTGGTGCCTGGAAGCAATATTGGGAAGTTCTGCTTTTGCTTTTCCATGGGCTCTGAGATGAGCAGTTGGTGTCTGAGAGAGCTAATGTGTGCATTCTGCTGGTGATGACTTTCTAGTCTCTTTCCAGAGGTGACGGACATGACTTGAACTTTGTAGTTTTGAAAAGAGGGGTCATCACAATCCAGGCCCATTGCCAGGACTGGACAGGAAGGTCTGCAAAGCAGTTCAACTCTAAATAAGAGTCCTGATTCTAGAGAATGATTGGCGTGTGTTTTCCCCTCGTTCCTAACCTTCAGCATCTTGAGTATTAAGAAATAGTTGTGGGGTGTGGTTGTTTTTGGAACATCAAGGCTGTTATGTACCCAACACTGCCAGGAAATTTGTTGGGAGGGAGACCCAGGCCCACCCTTTGACTTGACCTCTGCTGCAGATGGTGAGAAAGAGGGTATCAAATGCCAGCCTTTGGGGCTTCTGTTGTGGAATCCACACCTTCCCCACCCCAGCAAAAATAAAAGCATTCTAGAAACTGATGTCAGTCAGTATTTGGAATTCTTGAAAATTATCTGCTTCTATCTTAACTCCAATAGAAAAATGGAGGCCTTTTTCCATATGAATTAAAATCTGTCAGATAACATTCATATATCCCTTTCCCAAGAAGTTCTTGTTCCTCAGACAGCTCTAGCTAATATATCTTGGTGTTTCTCAGTGCACCTTAAAACTGGGCTTTGCCGTGTGGTTTTCAGTGGCATGGCCAGTGGACAGGGAGGGATAACTCATAAACTTAAGGAGCATCTAAGTTATTAATTTCCATGGTACCTAAACCCAGATCTCAACCAAATTAAAAGCTCTTAGTAACTACAGTGTGCTCTGGGCTGGGAGTCTGCTGGGATAGGAAGAAGGTGGTATGATTGCTAGGTCTGCAGGGATGTTTCTCATCTACCAGACAAAAAAGAAAATGTGAAATTTGAGTGGGGAGACTACAAAGGGGATAGTCAACAAAGCTTGGGTGGGGCAGAAGGTACAAGTAAGCTTACAGGGTGTGTGCGGGGGCATGAGTAATGGAAAGAACAGACCTGTAGTGTAGTGCACTGGGAATATTCTTAACAATGAAATGGGGAATCTCTCCAGATAGGAAGCTAAATTTTATTGTGCTACAGAACCTGGCAAGCCCCCAGGATGCAACACCGGTTCCAGTGATGGTAATAGTCACAGTTCACTGAGGATGCAACACCAGTTCCAGTGATGGGAATAGTCACAGTTCATCGAGCATTGTCAGGCGCTGCTGGTTTTGTTTAGGAATCCACTCAGTCCTCACATTGTAGCCTCTTCTTGTTTTTTTGTTTTGTTTTGTTTTGAAACAGGATTTCTCTAGCTTTGGAGCGCAATCTGGTACTCAACTTTGTAGACCAGGCTGGCCTCGAACTCACAAAGATCTGCCTGCCTCTGCCTCCCAAGTGCTAGAATTAAAGGGGAGCACCACCATCATCTGGCTTTCACATAGGTTCTTTATAGGAGAGACAGGTACAGAAAAGGTGTACAATTTTCCTATGGTTGAATACCTAGTAAGTGGCTGCACCCGGGATAAAGTACCCGCCCTAGCCACCTTTCACTGTGGGCTTTGGAGTGAAACAAGATTAACCGGTCCAATAGCTCTGAAAAGCAAAATGTATCATATTGTTTTTAAGATCAGGGCAGTATGTTATTGTTTGAAGGTTCTAAGATTAATTGTTCATAGCCCAGGATTTAGGAGGTGAGGAATTTCATATTGCATAAAAAATTAAAAGCATTTGCTTAGAGGCCAAAAAGAATGTAAAGCAAGCAACTCCCCCCCCCCCTCCCACACACACACAGAGTTTTCCTGTATAGGGTTTCTCTGTGTGGAACTGACTCTGGTTCTAAACACCGGGTTGGGCTTGAACTCAGAGATCCACCTGCCTCTGCCTCCACCTCAGGAATGCTGGAATCAAAGGTCTGCTCCACCACTGGCCAGTATCTTGGAAAGCCCTTTCAACAGCAATGTCTTTTGGTCTCAGTAACTTGATGGTTTAAATCAGAAACTGTGTTATGGCAAAGGCAGATTTTTGGATGAAAATTCAGCAAATTTGTAGTCAAAGGTTGCTTGTTTAGCCAATTGGTAACTATTGGTCCTCATCCAAGCTAAGGTTGTTTCTCTTGGGCTTTAAGGAAGTAGAATCTGGTGGAGTACAATCCGTCCTCTGGCAGCCTACCAGTGGGGGAGGGGCCTACGGCTTCACTTCTGTACAAACAGGGGAATTGAGTTTCACATGCCTCTGATACCAATGATAAATCACTTAATCTTTTGGCACCCTCAGTAGCCTTAACTCCAAAACAAAGGCAGCATTCAGAGGAGGATGTGAAAGACCTGGTTGCTCTGGGCATGCTTGGCCTACAGACACTGGAGTATGAACCTGGCACAGAGCCAGCCAAGCAGTCAGCCTAGGAGGCTCATTATTGCCCCCAAATAATAGCCTCCAGTGGGTCACCCAGCATCTTTCCTTTGCCAGAGGTTCCAACCCAGTTCTTCAGGGACTTATTCAGAGCCACCTGTACTCCAACACTTGTCGCTCTTAGTTTGAACGTCAGAGCCTCCAATAAAGGAGCCTTTCAGTGTATCTGGGGAGGCTTTCCTGGAGAACCGGCAGGAGCCAAAACCCGAGCTAAGTGGTGGAAGATGGAAATTGGGAGAATTTTAAATGGAAGGGAGCATGGATGCAGAGGAATTAAGGTAGGAGCAGGCAGGATGAAGGCAAGTCTGGAAAAAGGTCAGAGGGTGGAGGAAGGGAGGTGACTAGATCAAAATGAGGCTGAAGAGTCTATGGGGGGTGGGGCAAACCCTGTAGGTCCCTGTGGGCCCCTTTGGAAGGTCCCAGAACAAAGGAAGCTTTGAGGGGGTTTAGACCTCTGGGAGGAAGTGGTAGCAGGCAAGCTGGAATGACATCAGATTTACACTGGGCAAACCCCATTCTAGGCTCTAGGAAGTGAGTGATGTGGATGGAAAGGTGAGGGGCCTGCAGAGATTTTTCAGAGGCAAAAACAGTAATGGGTAAGGTGAGGGGCATGCAGTCCTGGGTGCTGATGTGCAGCTTCTGGGTGGCAGGTGGTAGCATTCAGGAAGATGAGGAACATTGTAGTCTATCCATAGCCCCACTGTTGTGGGGTTCCCACCAGAGAGGATGGCTCAGAAGTGTTTGTCGTCTTTAAAGATACTTGCTGGCAAGCTTGACAGCTTTATAATTAATTTATTTTTATGTACATTAGTGTTTTGCCTGCATGTGTTTCTGTATGTGGGTTTTGGATCCTCTGGAATAGGAGTTACAGACAGTTGTGAGCTGCCATGTGGGTGCTGGGAATGGGATCCAGGTCCTCTGGAAGAGCAGCCTGTGCTTTTAACCACTGAGCCATCTTTCCAGACCCAGAAATGGGCTTAAGCTCAGAAAATCTTTGTTAGACTGCCGGTAACTATACTGGGTGTTCAGGATTCTACCTAGTGTAGCCCGAGATTTTCCTAGGGTGAGCACTTGAGCACAAAAGCCATGTCCTGGGTTAACATACTTCAGTTAATAAGAGCAGTTAGAAGTAGAACTACAGAGGCCAAAAATCAAGGCTAGTACATATAGAGACTTTCCCAGAACTATGGACTTTGATGGATTAGTTTTTTGTTTTAATTTTGACAGGTGGTGCTGTCTACATGCTGAGTTTTACAGCCTGAATGGTACTTCCTTAATGGAGCCAGTTGTGCTAAGGACTGGGGCCATGTTACAACACTTGTGCCTCATCCTAAAGTGGTTCTGGGAGAAAAAGTTCATGCAAAAATTAAGTAGCTTTAAAAAGTAGCTTTTGGGGTTGGAGAGATGGTTCAGTGGTTTAGAGTACTTGTTCCTGTAGAACACCTGGGTTTCATTCCTACAACAGACATGTGGACAAAAATGTCCTTCATTTTAAGTGTGTGTGTGTGTGTGTGTGTGTGTGTGTGTGTGTATGTGTGTGCAGACATGACTACACAATGGTCTGGTGTATATACAAATGCTTACACAACAATCTGATATGTGTATATATGTACACACATATATATATTTATATATATGTATATATATATACACACAGACACACATACATGCATACACAATGTTCTGGAATGTGTAGCTGTGTGTGTATATACACAAAAGTATACACAATGCTCTGGGGTGTGTGTATACATTCATACATAATACTCTCAGAAGTGTATACATATATGTACACACATGTTCTAAGTGGTGTGTACACCGGTAAACAATGCTCTGATGTGTTTATACTTTCATACACAATGTTCTGGGGGGTCTATACACATAAATAAGTACAGTGCTTTAGGATGTGTGTACAGTCATACACAATACTCTTGGACGTGTATACATATACATACATACTGTTCTTGGGGTGTGTATACACAGGTAAACAATGCTCTGTGGGGTGCCTACATGCATACACGATGGTCTTGGAAGTGTACACACATGGTTTGCATAATGCTCTGGTGGTGTGTACACATGAATACACTCACTACTCTACATTAATTTTTGCCCGCCTGTAACTTTGAATAAAGACAGCCTTTTGCTATCCGCGCAGCAAAGAAACCTGCCTCCGCATTAAAACCCAAATTCTAGAAAACCAGAGCTTTGCCCTCCGGGATCCACACTTCCTACTCCACGCCTAGCGTTTGGCGCCGGTGTGTTTTAAACTTCTTCAACTTTAAACCGTCTTCAGTCTCACTGGGAGTAGACTTCGATGAGAGACTTCCCGCCCGCTTTTCCTGAACACACTTTTACCAGCTACCTATGCGGTCTGCGCAGGCGCGCCTCAGACCACGCCCTCCAGTGACGTCACGCGGCAGTTAGCGCGCTTCCACGCTTGGCGGTCGCAATTTAAAACCAATTCCGGAGATCTGGAGAGCTAAGATGAGAACTCCACTTCTAAGTGAGCTCGAGTGGGTCTAGGCGCGGCGGGCAGGGTCAGGACGGAGGGGCGCTCGCGTGGGCAAGTCCAGAAGGGACGAATGTGCTCGGCCGGGTTCGGCCAGGGTCGGGGGCTGAGCGCGGAGACGGGGGAGGGGAGAGGAGGGAAGTGGGGGCCGCTGGCCCAATCAGGGCGCAGCTGCCAGCGGCGTCCCGGCTCTTCTGCTCCCGCGCTCGGCTTCTAACGGAGGATAAGATGGTCTTTTTTCTGGACGTTATTTGGGGAGCTGTGAAAGCGGAGTGGTGACCATTCTGTGTTGAGTGCCTTTATTTTGGAACTGGTTCAAAAGTCTTGAATGCTCACTTTGGGACAGACCTTCGGTCAGATACAGAGATACTCAACAAAAGAAGCCTGGGCATTGGAGATGGAGACTGGAGGATCAGAAGTTCAAGGTTATTCTCAGCTATAGCAAGTTCGAGGCTAACCTGGGTTATTTGAGACTCGCTCCTTTTAGCGTGGCTCCCGCGGGTGTGTGTGTGTGTGTGTGTGTGTGTGTGTGTGTGTGTGTGTGTGTGTTCCCTCTTGGAGCTTATGTTCAAGTTGAGACAGCACAGGAAATACTTGACAGATAAGGCCTAGTGCTGTGACTCCTCCATTAGGAGACTCGAGATTTTTAAGCAGACATTGGGAAGAACGTCACAGCTAGAGAGCAGCGTGTATGAAAGTGACTGGGCTGGGCAAGGAACTAACTAGAACATCATAACTAAGCATAGTGAGCTTAGTGAGATTGGACGGTAAGCAGGACCTGGTAGACCTTGGTAAGAGCTTTGGAATAATAGTTTCATTTTGGACATATTGCCTGTGACTTCCTGGACAGGTGCTCAGGTGAAGGGGTCTGTATCTCCTGAATGAGTTTGACAGAGAGGTAGATTTGTGATTCTCCATCATATAGATCATAAAGCCATGGGTACAGGTGAGAATACTAGACAGACCGCGTAGAGAGTACATCGAGGATCGGCACAGAGAGGCTGGATGAGAGGAGGGCACAGGAAAAAAATCAAGGTACAGGTCACAGGAGCCAAGGGCAGTTCAAGAAGAAAAAAGTCATTAATTATTTCAAATGCTGCTGAGTCTCAAAAAACAAAACAAAACAAAACAAAAAAACAAAAAAAAAAAAAAAAAGAAGAAGAAGAAGAAGCTTGAAGGAAGTGCCTACACTTTTTGACCACAGGCAAGTTGTTCTAATCAAGACTTTTTATGAAGAGGTAGGGATAGGAACCAGAGCAGAGGAGTTGAATGAGTGGGAGGACATGGATAAGCAGAAGGAAATGCTTTTGATTCAGTAACGATCTGTTGAATTAGAATAGATGCATACTGCCCACCCCAGAGAGGAATCAGGGAGGAGTTAAAATCTAAAGGCCCTCAGTGCTTCCAGATTCTCAAGTCCTTCCCTTACCCACATTCACACAGTCACAAACCTCTTGCAAACGTCTCTGGTCTCCTATTTTGACTTTTATTTTTTGTGCTTCGGTGTTGGAGGAGAGTTGTGTTAATTATACTATTCAGCTTACAGGAAGCATTATCAAGTTTTCCTGCTGTCTTTTATCCCTGTTCCCATACACAACCATTTGTTGTTTATTGTGTCTACTATTGTGGTGTAGGTCTTACACCTGTGTTCATGCAAGGCAAGCATTCTACTGCTGCTCTATATTCCCAGCTCCCCCCCCCCCCCTTTTCGAGACAAAGTTTCTCTGTAGCTTTGTAGCCTATCCTGGCAATTGCTCTGTTGAGCAGGATCTGCCTGCTCCTGCCTCCTGAGTGTGCTGGGATTAAAGGTGGCAGCCACCACAGCCAGGCCCTCCCAGCCTCCTTTTATTTTTAGTGTGTTCTTATAAAATATTGTGTCTATTGTAGTTACATTGTATCATCTGTTCTGAAACAACAAGGTCTGTGCTCAGCTGCTCTCTCCCTCCCTTGCTCCTTTTCTCCTTTTCTTCCTCCCTCTCTCCCTCCCCTTCCTCCTATACTTGCCAACCTACCAGCCAAAGCCAGGTGTATGTATGCTCTTCCACTTAGGGCGGTGGTGAAGCAAATACGGCATAGACACAGACAGAGAGCGGGCCTAAGGTTTTGTCAGCTAGTAAGTGATGAAGGCAACCTGAAGCAGTGCTTTCTGTTTCTTAGATCGGGTAGGAATGAGGGTTTTTGTCTCCCAGGAATCCTGCGTCTTGCTCTAAACAGTACCTCATAGTCACTGCCATAGTCACACCATGAACGTGTCATTAGCAATAACGGTACCATTCTGTCCCCCATGTGTTTGTTTAATACCACCCCTATGTGTCCAGCTCATTTTCTCTTACTCTCAGCCTTCAGGTTTTTATTCTGCCAACCTATATTCTCCTGCTTTTTACTGCCTATTACCATCTTGTGTCCTGTTAGTTCTTTATTTGTGTTGCGTTCCTGGTCAGTCAACATAACCATGTGTTTCCCTGTGTCCTTCTTCTATGCAGGTTCTTGGCAAAACCCTACAACCCTGGTTAATTTAAACATAGCCTGTTGTGCACACTTGACAGTGGCCAGAGAAAGATGTTTGATTTGGGGGGGGGGGTCCTACAAAGCTGTCTATCAGTTATATCACATTTCCTGCTTCACTCAATCTGTTTCTAGATAGCCATTGCTTCCTCAGATTTCCGGTACCTTCTCCATCACTGACCCCCTAGCTCACCTGTATTCTAAACATAAGGACAAGGGAAACAACAGAGAACAAGTGATTTAGTAGGTAGACTCTGTTTTTTTCCTCTTGGCTTGTGCTTCTCAGGCTCTTTGCTGGTTGTTCTTTCTTGCTTTGTAGTTTTGAAGTATTCTGAGACCTGTCTCAGAAATCATCTCTTCTCCATTCATTTATTTTGGAGCTCATCCAGTGTGTTAAATGAATAGTCTGTTGGTCATCCCAAACTTATCTAGCCTGGAATTACCCCCTGAATTCTACAATTAGATGTTGTAGTGCAATTGGATGGCTGGGGAATGTGAGACGTTATCCCCTTAGCTGTTGTAAGTTTGAGGCTAGCATGAGCTACATGAGACCTGTCTAAGTAAAGTCATTACAGTGGTCATGAGTCATGCTGGGAAGCTCCTGTGAGTTGGTCTTCTATTCTGTCTAGTGTTCTTTCCTTCTTGGCCCTGGAGAGCCTCAGGATTTGTTTGCCCCTGGCTACTGTATTCTGTCACACTGGGCCCACATGTGTGGAAGCATGTTCTCACCTTTGGCTTGTACCCCCTGCTTCCACGTGGTTTTCCCAGACTGCATGGCTTTGATTCTGGTGTAAGCTTTTTGGTAAAGCCTCTGACTACTGTATTTATAGTGACTTTGCCAGGCAGTGGTGGTACACAGCATTAATCCCTGCACTCGGGAGGCAGAAGCAGTTTGAGACCAGCCTGGAGCAAGTTCCAGGACAGCCAGAGCTATACAGAGACCCTGTCTTGAAAAAACCAGAGACCCCCCCCCAACAAAAAGCGACTTCCTTATTCCTTTCCTGCTTCACCCCTCCCCAAAACATGTATACCCATCACACACACACCTCAGTTTCCAACTTTTCAGAATACTTTATGCACACTAGCCGAGTCCAACAATTGCTGATGTTTTCCTGCCTTCACTTTTAAAGCAAGTTGCACTCTTTAGATCACTCCATACTTGTTTCTCACACATCTCCTCAAAGCAGTGGCCTTCAGCATGTCATTGTGGTACCTAAGATATTAAATTCAATTTCCTAGACTAAGATCTAGACTTTATTCTAGATTTTCAAAATTTCCCCTGAATATTGCTCTTAAACATCTGTTTGAGCAGGGATTGGCTGAGAGTGTCCCTTTACTGCTTTTGGTTTATACAGTCATTTGTTTTCATCCAAAACAGCTGCTCTAGCTTTTTTGATAGTTGGCTTGTTACTTTTCCTTGTTTTGAGACAGGGTGTCACTTTGTAGCCCCTGCCTGCCTGGGACTTGTTACACAGACGAGGCAGGCTTCAAACTTGCAATGTCCAGCACTTTGGACCACTCAGCCCAGCCCGCCTTTTTTTATGTGCTCCCAGCTACTTCTTCACTCTGAGCTAAAAGGAGCTAAAAGGAGCTTGAGCTCCTTGGCAGCTCTCCTGCCTCAGCCTCCTAGATGCTGGGATTACAGGTGTGAGCTATTGTCTTGCAAACTGTCTCCATCCTAGCTTTAGCTAAATGTTTATTTGTATCCTTTAACTCTTTCCTCTGCTCTTATAGTTCTTACAAGGTGGGTTAGATCTAAAGTATTAGTTACATTTAAGTTAAATATTTCTGGCAAAAGCATTTCCTAGGTGATTCTAAGAGTTTCCTGTAGTTGGGCCTAGAGGGATGGCACAGCCTTTAAGAGCACCGATAGCTTTTTCCAGAGGACCCAATTCAATTCCCAGCACACAACATTGACAGCTCACAACTGTCTGTAACTCCAGTTCCAGGGATCTGACACCTCACACAGACATATATGCAGGCAAAACACCAATGTACATAAAATAAAAGTAAATTCTAATCAGAGATGAGGGAACTTCTCATTTTTGGTGAGGCTGCATTGGTCCGCTTGGTTAATGTATAGTCATTGCCCAATGGCTTTTATAGTTTGCATGTGATTTGTGGCCAATTCTTGGGAATGCTCTGTGTGTGTGTGTGTGTGTGTGTGTGTGTGTGTGTGTGTGTGTGTGTATTGTATATTTCAAATGTTTTTTCTCCATCTTCCTGCCAAGATGGAGGAGCTAGTATTAGATCTCAGCCTCTGTGACTATAGACCAACCTCATCATTACTCAGCACCAGTATCTCCTGGGCCTGATATTGTGGGAGACAGATATCCTTCTGCTAGTTTGTGAGCTTATCAAAGGCAGCAACTTTTTCTCATCCATCTGCCTGTCCTTGGCAGTGCTGGGCATGTAACCTATCCCCAAGCGTGCTAGGCAAATGCTCTACCACTCAACTCTATCTCCAGTTGTGCCTCATCGTCTTTATCCGGTGTTGTGCTTGAATGTACAGGAGCTGTGAAGTGGATATTTGCCCTGTTACCTTTCTCTTTACTCCCTACTACCGCCCCACCAAGAAACCCAAACTATAGAATGTCTAACATCATGCATTGTGGGACTTAGCAGAGAATATGCAGTGATCCCCATAATAGGCTCAAGTCCCCTTTTGAAATAGGAAATAATTCTGTTGAAGGTTCTTGAGCAAGTATTTTGTTTTGTCACTGCCAGAAACAATGAACAACTCTTCTCCAAAGATCAATGGACACCAGCATGGTGTTTCATCACCTTTGGAACGGGTGCTGTCAATGCCCCGGCCTGGGAAGGCCCCTCTCAGTACTCCTAACACCCCAGTCCTTGAAGACTTTCCTCAGAATGACGATGAAAAGGAGCGGATGCAGCGGAGACGCTCCAGAGTCTTTGACCTGCAGTTCAGTACAGACTCATCTCATGTGCTCGCCTCCCCTAACAGGTGAGCACATTTCTGCATTGGCTCTGTTTGGGTGGCATGGGTTGTATGGGTCCTGGTGCCTCCATAGTACATAGTACCATTGATTCTGGGCACTGGGGTTTTTGTTTTGTTTTAATATATTTATTCTGTGGGTCTGCATGTGTGAGTACGTGCTTGTGTGTATGCATACATGTGCACATACAGAAGGCAGGACATCTTTCAGGAGTTAGTTTTCTCCTACTTTGTGTCCAGGGATCAATCTCAGGTCATCAGGTTTGGAGACAAGTACCTTTACCTACTGAGCTATCTTGCTGGCCTCATGGGTTTGTGTTTTGAAGTAACTGTATTATAGATCCTTGCTAGAATTTTTGTTTTTCATTTAGGAATATTGATGTTTCAACTACCATATCTAAGTTTACAAACACACAGATTACAGAACATTACTCTACCTGTATCAAGCTGTCTACTGAAAACGTGAGTATTTGTTGGTTTATAGTTATTTTGGCAGGATTTTGCTTTGTAGCTCTGGCTGGCCTAGAACCTTTGATCGTTCTGCCTAGCCTCATTTCAGGTGTGTATTTTGTACCTAATTTTGTATCTGATCACAGGGAGATGGGGCTTTCTTGATTTAGGTAGGAAATGTGATGGTTTGTTTATTCTCTATTGTGGTTTCCTAATGCTGGTTTTTCTCTGTGACGTTACTGTTTCTGTTGGAAACTTTGATTTTGCTGCTTATGAATGGCCTCCTAGTTACAGTATATCTAACATGACAACATGGCTTACTGACAAATGGTGTGAGTGTGGAAGCTAATGAGTTCTGGATCTACCCTGCATTAGAACCTTCTCTTTCTGACTTATAAACTGGGTGACTCCCTGCTCCAGGTTCCTCTCAAGGGAGAGTGCCTGCCTCACAGGCTTTTGCAGAGTTCTTAGAGCAAGACCTGTGCCCAGTGAGCTTTTGTGATTCTCAATTTTCAGCCGGGGTGGGGTAGAGTGCATGTGGATTTAGCTGTGTTGCAAGTGTTTATGGGAACTGAGATCAATGGGAGTATTTGTGTATAAACTTTAGTGTCATTATTTACAGGAGCTTATGAACCGAGCCTGTGAGTAATAACCTTCCTGTAATGTTTTCCCCTAGAAAATCACTACTAAGAATGCTTTTGGCTTGCATTTGATTGATTTCATGTCAGAGATTCTTAAGCAGAAGGACACAGAACCAACCAACTTTAAAGTAAGAAACACGGGTACTCTCCTTATAGCCGACTCAGTGATTATTTCAAATGCTTAGTGAACATGCTTGATTTCTGCAAACACACAGGAGCTTTCCTGATGAGATAGTACTGTGGCTCCTTCACACTTTTCCCTCAAAGGGTAAAATGCAGGCTTGAAGCAGATGTTTTTATTCCCACCAGTCTTTGAGCACCTTAATTTTTTTCTCCAATAAATATTTACGAATCCAGCTGAATTTTACTGTTGTCCGAAATGCTGTCCTGTGCATCTTCTTGAATCTAGCTGTGCTTTTGGACTAGGTGGCTGCTGGCACCTTGGATGCCAGCACCAAGATCTATGCTGTTCGTGTGGATGCTGTCCATGCTGATGTATACAGAGTCCTTGGAGGGCTGGGTAAGGACCCACCATCTCAAGAAGAAGTGGAGAGCCATGGCACAGGTACGCAGGCTGGAGTCTGGAGGTACAGGGCTACTTCTAGTGTGTGTGCTGGGCATATTTCTAGAATGTGGTTTTCCATGAGAAAGTACAGGAAATGTGGCTTCTGCTGGTGTCTTCAGAAATTGATTTTTTTTCCCCCCTAGACTGGGTTTCTTTGTATAGCCCTGGCTGTCCTGGCACTCATTCTGTAGACCAGGCTGGCCTTGAACTCAGAGGTCTGTTTGCCTCTGCCTCCTCCCAGAGTGCTAGGATTAAAGGTGTAGGCCACCACTGCCACCTGACCACAAATTTTTTTTTTTTTTTTTTTTTTTTTTTTGGTTTTTCAAGACTCACTGAGATCTGCCTGCCTCTGCCTCCCAAGCAAGTGCGGAGATTAAAGGCATGCTCTATCACTGTAGACCGGAAATGAATTTTTATTAGAAGTGAAATGTGTTACCTAGTACTCCAGTTTTCTGTAAGTGGCAGATTAGATCAGCTTGTTGACTTGAGAGGATTTCCTGTTTAAACCATGACAACTCTGAGGGTTTTCAAGAACTGGTATTACTCTTTAGATGGAAGTGCTGTTGAACCAGGAACAACCAAAAAGGCTGCAAAGCCAAAGAAGAAGACGTCCTGCAAAACCATTGAGCAGAATCTAAGCAACATCAATGTCTCCGAAGCAGATCGGAAGTGTGAGGTGAGGAATCGTGCACTCCATGTGGTTTCGACAAATTCGGCAGAGCAGTTGCTAGGGTCAGTGTTCATGGCATGGCTGAGCTGTGAAGAAAGGTTAGATTTGGTTCATTAATTGCAGATTCATGACCTATAGGTCTGGGCTTCAGATGGGAGAGCATGATTGGTTGGTGTTTGAGGAAAGAACGAGATGTGACAGCACCAGTGTTCCACAGAGGCGGGTCACACGGGAGGCACCAGGGTGGAAGGGTAGGTGAGCTGGGAGGATGGTTATGGAGTTGTGAAGCTGCCGGGTGACAACAGAGATGACAGGGTGTGGAGGTGTGAATGACACGTGTCCCTTTTTGGGACCCAGGATGTTGAGATTGGGTCATGAAGATGGCAGGATCACAGCTTCCAAGAAAGGTCAGGGAACGGCATCTGTGTTCTCAGACCTGATCCCTGTTTCTGTTTGGAAGCCACATCCCAAAGAAGCTGTGAGACCTAAGTCCAGTATACTCCCCTGGCAGGACCTCTGGCCACTTCCTCCTTTCGTGCCTCACATGCATTTGCCTTGTCTGTCCCTGGGCTTGTGATGTGTTCTGCTTTTGGGTTGCTGTCACATGACCGTGCCATCCCTCTCTGTGACCCAGCCTTAGGGCCTCCTTGCAACCTTTGGCAGCCAATGCTCAGGTACCAGCCCTTCCGACTGCCCATCCTTCACTTAGTCAACCTGCTTGGGTTCTTCCAAGTCTTAGAGATATTTCTGTTCAGAGCAACAATAGTGAGCCAGATGTGGTTTCATATACCTATAACCTCAGCACTTAGGAGGCTGGGGCAGAAGGCTTTGAGTTAAGATGCCAACCTGGGGATAGAGTAAGACCCCACCTGAAATAGGAGTTCCCTAAACATAGGAAGGAAAGACCCTTGTAATTAGCTTTATCCCAACAGCTCGTTAAGGCAACGGGATTTGTTGTGACATTATTTTACTGTGTTGGGCTTGTTAGAAGTAGCTGTTTAGAAACTGCCTGTGGAAGGCAACTAGCAGGAGGTAATCTGTCCGTGTGTGTTGTAGATAAAGAGATTAAAATATACTTCTCACCACTCATCCATTTGACCGCTGCCTTTCTCCAGCCAGGATTATACCTGATGACTCAGAAAGTCTTCCCCCTTTGACCATGCACAGACATTCGGTCTTGTAGATAGGCCGTGGATGAGCTTATTTCCTCCTGCTGCCTGCTCTCATTCTTTGGTTCCCTGCTCTTGCACGCAGGTGGATCCTATGTTTCAGAAGACCGCGGCCTCATTTGATGAGTGCAGCACAGCTGGGGTATTTCTCTCCACCCTTCACTGCCAGGACTATAGAAGCGAGCTGCTTTTCCCTTCTGACATGCAGACTCTCTCCTCGGGAGAACCTCTGGAATTGCCAGATTTAGGTTGTGTAGACATGACAGATTTAAAAGGTGAGTAGAATTGCCCTTTATCAGTGCATCTAAGTCCCTAGAGAAGCTGCTCATAGTTATGGGGGTATCCTGTCGTGTTCGCTTCTGGAAAGCCAAATTGGGTGATCTTTGGCAGTGCCTACCATCCCACTCACTTCCCCCCTCTCTGAACAGTAAGTCATCACTTTGCCTGTGTGCCATGGACCTCATGTACTCAGTGCTTGAGCTGTGACAAAAGGAAGAGGCATCTATCCAGCCAGAGATGCCTTGTTCTTATCTGTTCCCAGCTCACAGGGCCCTGAAAAGGAGATATTGTGAATTATTCCCAAGCCCTGTGGCAGTCTAAGAGCTGCCCTATCCTGTTAGTTTCCTCATACTTGACAAGAGTTCAGCATCTTCCCCTCACCCCCAATTCTCCCTCTTTCCTGCTGACCAGGAGAACTCCCAAGATTGTGTAGGGGCCGTGTGGAGGCCGTGTGCTCAAGTGCCATAGACATGCGCGCTTGTGGTCAGTTCCGTGTGCTGAGTGAAACTGATCTCCCTCTGGGCTGACCATGCAGGTGTCTTTGTTGTTTTTTTTGAAGGGACCCTGCTATTTACCCGGCTGCCCTTGTACCTCCTTCTCCCTCTACCTCCTGAGGGCTGGGATCACAAACATGGACCACTACTCCCAGTTTCTTTCATTCTTTTGTTTTGTTGGTTGTTTTTATTTTTGCTTTTGAGACAGGGTTTCTCTGTGTAGTCCTGGCTGTCCTGGAACTCGTTCTGTAGACCAGGCTGGCCTCTGCCTCCCACGTGCTGGGACTACAGGTGTGCAGTAGCACTGCCTGGCCCATTCTCTCTGTTCTTGCAGATGTTTTGCTCAGCATAACTGTTGTGCTGACAGTCTGTTTCTGTGTTTTTGCCCTCAACTAGGACTGTGATCCTCTGAGGTATGTGGCCTGTAGCTACCTTAGTAAGTACCATCACATGATGACTAAGGAATTCAGTGCTTTTAAGAACAGGCTCGTACATTTCCCAGCTCTAGAGTTCACTTCAGAGTCAAATGTCCGTGCCTCCGATTTCTCCTTTGCATTTAAGCTTCAGGAATGGCATTTAGCTTGACTCACTGTGGGTACACCTGGGTCTGTTTATACCCCCAAAGGGTTCAGCCACAGGAGGTTGGCAACCAACCCACACTGGCAATACTGCTTCTCTGTGTCATTCTAAAGTGGCAAACTGCACAGGTCGGCCCACCTGCAATCTTTTCATGTCCCCCTAGAGCCCTTGCAGCAGTGTGTGGAAGACCGCCAGCTCTGCCCTTCTCTGGCCGGGTTCCAGTTTACTAAATGGGACAGTGAAACGCATAATGAGGTGTGGTCAACTTTGGATTTATTTATAAGGGCTTGGGGCATTTTCCAGTTGCTGGTGGTTTCAGTTAGCTGGTCCAAGATTAGTTTTGCCCAGTGGGAACCAAAACTGTGGCATGGATTTTATTTATTCAAGAGTACAGAAAATATTTCCTTTGGCACTTTTGTGGGAATTCTCAGCCTAGCTGGGAGGGTGGGGCTGTGAACCCCAGCAGGACCATCAAGCAGTTGTGAAGTATGACCATGTCTTACTTGCTTCCTGAGGGTCAGATTTGCTCTTGAGCATGCTTATCATAACAGTTGCTGTCAGGCTTCTTTTTGGGGCTATCAGGCTTCTTTTTGGGGTTAAGTCCCCTGGCACACTGTTTCCTGAGAAACTGTCATGTTTAAAGCCTTCCTTTGTGTATTTTTAGCAGGGTCCCCTTTAGCCTACTTACTACAACTTCCAACATAAATGGTCTCCATGGAAAACTGTGTTCTCCAAACATACAGTTAACGAATGCAGATTCCTGTTTTGTGTTTTGCTAAATTAGCCCAACACAATGCAGCTTAAGCCTGCGCTGCACATTGTAAACTTCCTGTGAGAATGCTGGCTCCAGTGGGTGGAGCTGGGGAGGGGGGAGGGTGCAGGAAAAGGAGAAGCTGAAATAGCTGGTCTCCAGGGATGAGCCAGAGTGACCCTAAGAGCCCTGTCTTCTTTTTGTAGTCTGTCTCGGCCCTGATGGACAAGTTTAAGAAGAACGATCAGGTATTTGACATCAACGCTGAAGTTGAAGACAGTGATGATGGGGGCATCCCTGATGGGCCCCTGATGGAAGACTTTGATGACAATGATGAGCCAGACCCTTCTGCAGCTGGGGATCATGAAGAGTTGGGGAGCTGGAAGGAGCTCAGCAAGGTCCAAAGCAGCCAGTAAGGCCCCTGGGTCCCAGAAGGTTTCCAAACAGACATCCAGCTCGGTTAGCTGGGCTGGTGTGCCATATCACACACATGGGCTGAGCCATGTGGCTGAGGGTCACACCTGGCTTTGTATGTTAGTGATCCAGTTTATTATAGAACTGACATCGCCTAGGCACAGCTCATCCCACTCCTTGGTTACAACAGTGAAGTATTCTGCTGGCTGTCAGGAACCCTCAGGTCAGTGCCATTAGGACAACTAGGCTGAAGGAAGGAGTGGCCTATGATGTTAGGGGAAGATAGATCAGAGATGGCCCCTAAGAGGGTGAAGAGGGAGGAGCAGCCTTAAAGTACAGACATAATACAGATTAGGTTAGCAGTATGGACTTGGGTAAGGAGTACCTGCCACCCAGATGTGTTGAAGGATTTGTTGAGTGACTAGAGTTTGGAAGTGTACAGGGCCTCTGCATAGCATCAGGTAGCATCAGGCCAGGCTGTTGGGAAGGGAGACAGGCTCTTCACACATTGCCTAACTGCCAAAAGCTGACAGCAAAGAAGTAGAGAGGCTCTGAAGCCATCTTGTTCCATCTGTCTTTCTTGTGTAACTACACATTAGTCTGTGACACAGCCTAGGTCCTTGTCCTTGACAGTATAGGGTTCAACAGACTTGATATATGAGGGTTTTGTATTTTAATTTTAAAAATTAATTTTGAAATACATAGTCTCTTGGACTTTTGGTTTGGTAGTGCCTGGTGCCAGTACCCTTTTTAAAGCTCTTTTTTTTTTTTCTTACTCTGTAGAGTGTGTCATAGGGCTCATGGTCAGCTCAATGCCAGTGCAAAGCTGCTCTCAGGAGAGACTAGAGACTACATTCTCCTTACTCGCCACCTTTATCCTCACAGGGTGGCAGAGTTTCACTAATGTGCTTCCTAGTACCTCAACCTGAGGAGAGGGCTCCCTCATGCCCCAAAGCTGCCAGCTTCCAGGCCTCTTACCTGTATCATACACAGCAGATGAAGCTGGGTGACCTAACACATTACTAAAGGAGAGCTAACTATATAAACTGGAATATCCTTTTCACTCTTAGGAGGAACTAAGGCTATGCCTGTAGATCTCATCAGTGAGAGAATGGGAACTAGGATTTCATGTTTCATGGCAAAAACCACATGTGTGAAAAGAGCCACATCTGGATTCAGAAAATTGTATCCAGCTTCCAGCTCTGGCTTCCTTTGCTTGTTCTTTGAGATTAGATATCATTATGTAGCCCAGGCTGACCTCATACTCAAGATCTTCCTGCCTCATCCTCCCTAGTTCAGGGGTTATAGGTATCTGCCACCATACCCAGCCCAGCGTTGGTGTTTTGCTGGTCTGTGTAATGAGTTTCAGGCCAGTCAGAGCTACATAGGGAGACCTTGTCTAAAACAAACAAACAAATCCTTGACTTTTTATCTGTCCCCTTGCCTCTCAGATGGGTAGATTTACAAAGCACTTTGGAACAGCCAACATATTTGTATAATAAACAACACTTTGTGAGAAAATTAGGCAAAAAACAGTCAACAAGTAAAAACTTGGTGGTTTCTTAATGAAGGGTTTGCTTGGACTTAGGAAGGCTGCTTCTGGACTAGAGAGTCCACATGGTGGATCCCAACCTGTGACTCCAGTTCCAGGGAATCCATGTCCCCTTCTAGCCTCTGGAGGCACTAGGCATACACAAGATGCACATCCACTGATACAGGCAAAACACCTATGCATATAAAACAAAACATAAAAATACTGAAAGAAAGGGAAGTGGAGGAGGTGGGGTAACATTTGTACTAACACCAACTTCTTCACATGTAAATTCATGGTTTATGTTCTGTGCATTTGTTGTGTTACAGGGAAGAAATTATTTCCCTCAGGGACAGAGACATCCAAACCATGTGCTCCTTTTTATCCATGAAACCTGGAGAATACTCCTATTTCAGTCCCCGGACCATGAAGATGTGGGCTGGCCCAGATCACTGGCGCTTTCGGCCTCGACCCAAACGTAAGTACTTGTGGGTGGGACTTTAAGACAATGCCATGCAGCCTGGACTGCCTGCCAGTCTTCAGGCAGCAGGGCAAAGAGATGCTACTGGTCTCTGTTCTTCTCAACTTGTGAGGAGGGCTGAAGCAGAGGAGCTGAGCCAGCAGGGCTGCACGGTGGTCAGCCGCCACAGGTCAGTTAATGTGCAGTGGCAAGAGTAAGCCTCTGAGTCTGGGGACAGGCCTCATGACCGCACTCTGCTTCCTAGTACCAGCATGACTTACGTTGTGGGAGTGACACAAGGGAATCACCCCTAAAGTCTCCCAGGCTCTGTAAAGAAGAGTCCATACTGATGCACATAGCTAGCTCAACACGGATGCTGTATCTAGATGGACCTGGGGTGTGAGCCATTGCCGTCTTCCACCACTGTAGTCATGCTTAGCCACACATGCTGCCTTATGCTTGACAAGGCCATTAGTAGATGTGAGTTGAGAAACTGTTGGCATGTTGATTAGTGGTATTAACTGTCTTTATTTCTGCAGAAGATACTGCCTCCCACATGGAGAACAAAAAGAAGAGTGCAAAGAAAGACTTTGAAATTAATTTTGACGATGATATTGATTTTGATGCATATTTTCAGAAAACAAAGGTTTGTGCCAGACATTAGTGCCTTCTGAGATCCCTGTGCACTGCTCTTGCCCTTTCCGACAGGGCTTTCAAAGACTACTGTAGAGCCTGGTGTGACAGCCCCACCTTTAATCTCAGCGCTCAGGGGGCAGAGACTCCATGACAAAGAAATAAGCAGAAAGTTACTGAGTATTTAATTACTTGTTTTCTAGAGATAGGGTCTCATGTAGCACAGGCTGCCCTCAAACTTGCTATATAGCTGAGGCTGGCCTTAAACATCCTGGTCCTCCTGCCTTTACTCCCCAGATGTGCCCTGGTAACCCCTTATAACTTTAACTGATAAACACGTACTCTTTTCTCCCTTATCCTTAGGGGACCCGTGAGAAATAGTTCCAAAGCTAGTGCCAGGGACAGGCAAGCTTAGAAAGTGAGACAGGGTGACACCGTGTTGCCCAGTCTCATGCCCTCTGCAGCCCAGGCTGATCTTGAATTCATGACAGGATGCCTGCCTCAGCCCTCTGAGTGCTGCGATTACAGGCATCTCCTCTGATGCCCAGCACAGTCACTCATAGTGACCAGAGAATTGCAAGCCGAATAATGCCCAACCCTTCCTAACCTCCTTTAAGATGATATATGTCATTGCTATTAAGAATGATTTTTGGAGCCCATTCCCTATGGAGGGATACCTTGCTCAACCTAGATACAGGTGGGGAGGGACTCAGTCCTGCCCCAAATGATGTGACAGACTTTGATTCCCCATGGGAGGCCTCACCCTCTCTGAGGAGTGGATGGGGGGGGGGGACTGGAGGAAGAGGGAACTGGGACTAGTATGTAAAATAAGATGGTTTTTAATTTAAATTTTAAAAATGTCTTTTTTTTTTTTTTTTATTTTAATGAATAGGCTGCTACCACTCTGACAAAGTCCACTTTGGAGAACCAGAATTGGAAAGTCACCACTCTTCCCACAGATTTCCACTATGAAAAGGATGCTCTCGTCCAGCTCCACCTCAAGCCAGGCATAAGGGTAGGACCTGGGGATTGGGCTGAGATTGCCAGGCTTTACCTACCATCCTCCTGACTCCACCTTGTCTTCTGAGACTCTGATCTGTGATCACCAATTAGCTAAACTGGCTGGCCTTCAGAGTTCTAGGAATCCATCGCTCTGTTTTTCTGAAATAGGGTTGAACACTTAGGCCCTATGCTTGCAAGGCCAGCACTGTTCAGAGTCCACCTCAGCCCCAGTAGGCTGCCTTTGCAATAAGGAAATGAGTTCTTAGCAGGTTTGGTCAAGTAAAAGTTGAATTTCTTTCAGAAAGCTGTAGGCAAGGTGGCTAGCTTTTGCTTTTGGATAAAACTGCAGATCAGAGGAGGAAGTGTTTGGCTTTGAGGATGAGTCGAGGCTCTGTGCCCGGTACCTTATGTTGGTCTGTGCAGTGGAGACTAGGATAGACTATGTAGCCTGTTAAGATTCTTGCTTTAGGGTCATGTCATTCTAGACTATGCTAGAAATTGAGCATAGGAAACAAGCATTATATTCCCCAGCTTTGTCCAGTAGCTGCTTTTCTAGAAAATTCTTTTTTGTATCTCCCCCCCCCCCCTTTATTCTAGTTACTTAAGATGGGCCAGGACCAGAAGGCGAAGACTGAGCACTATGAGGAAATTGAAGACTATGATTACAACAACCCTAACGATACCTCCAACTTTTGCCCTGGACTTCAGGTAAGGGGAGAAGAGCTCTCACCTCTTCCAAATGGAGAGTGGTCTCTTTCCTGGTTTCCACTGTCCCTTCTGAATGCAGTCAGCTGTAGGAGACCTCAGTCTGCTAGGGATTTTCTGTCTCAGTATAGATCACTGAACAGTGCTGAGAACTGAGCTCAGTGTGGCCTCTTTACTGGGTTCAGGAAGCAGTGGTCACCTCTGCTAGTGAGTTGACAAGTGGATGGGGTCTTTGGCCTGCACAGCATAGTGCTAATCTTGGCTGATGTAGGATTTCAAAGGAATAGAACTATATTTCCTGTTCTTAGGAGCTAATGTTTTAGCTATGAGACAGAAGGCATAGACATGTTAAGGTGGTGTGGTCTAGTGGGCCAAGAACAATTGAAGTATTTATCAGGACTTATACACGTCACTCCTCATCTTCAGGCCTTGGTTGGTTCTAAATCATTTGTTTCTCATTGTGAGTCTACTGAAGAAACAACAAGTAGAAGTAATGGGAGGAAGACAGAAGCCTCTGACTCTGCATGCGGGGAGGGGAAGGAACTGGACAGTCCTTACTGGGGAAGAGAAAGACTTGTATTTTAATGAAATCCAGTCTTGACTTCTTGGCTGATGCTTCTCCAACTTTAGCGCCTATAAGAATCAGCCAGGGGCCTTTTCAGAGTTCTGCCCCCTGCCTATCTCACGACTCTGATCTGCTCACGCTGACGTGGTTCTGAGAATGGTTTCCTGTGGGCCGGGACTGTAGACTCGCATGAATGAAGCTGTGGGTTTGATCCCTGACACCACATCAACCAGGTGTCTTAGTCAGAGTTCTGTTGCTGTGAAGGTATACCATGACCACAGTAACTTTTTTTATATATATAATTTTTATTTTTTTAGCATTATTTTTGTTTTATGTACATTGGAGTTTTGTCTCCTTGTATGCCTGTATGAGAGTGTTAGATCCCCTGGAACAAGAGTCACAGACAGTTGTGAGCTGCCATGTGGGTGCTGGGAATTGAACCTTCGGTCCTCTGTAAGTGCAGCTAGTGTTCCTATAACTGCTGAGCCATTTCTCCAGCCTGACCATAGTAACTCATATAAAGGAAAACATTTAATTGGGGCTGGTTTAAAGTTCAGAGGTTTAGCATGGGGGTGCACAGGCAGACATGGAACTGGAGGAGCTGAGAGTTGTACATCTGGATGACAGGCAGCAGGAAGAGACAGACACTGGGTGCTTAAGCTTCTTAAAACCTCAAAGCCCACACCCAGTGACACATTTGCTCCAAGGCCACAACTACTCCAACCAGGTCATGTGTCCTAATCCTTTCAAATAGTGCCATTCCCTGTGAGCATGTGGGGGCCGTTTTCAAACCATCACACCAGGTGTGGTGGAGCACATCCGTAATCCCAGTTCTCAGGAGGCGGAGGAAGGAGGATCAGAAGTTCAAGCCATCCTTGGCTACAAGGCAAGTTTAAGGTCATCCTGGGATGCATGAGACCCTGTGTCGATAGTGTCCGGGATCTCCTATGCTGCTTTTGTATACTAGGGATGGGACCCAGTACCTCACATGGAGTGTGTGTGCTCTGCCACTGAGCTATTTGCCCAGCTCCTGTTTTTTGCTCTTGGCTACTAAGCAAAGGTGACAGTGTCCTCTGTGGTCATTGCCTCCTTTGAATCATGCTTCAGAAGTGTCAGGCTGGTGACAGGTCCCGCTGTCTCTAGTAGGCTCACGGGAAACGGGGAGAAGTGAAGTGAGCAGTCCACCTTTGGGCCTCACTTGGTGGACTCTCAGGCGGCCTCTGCTTGCTGTGGACATGGACTCTTTCTGGTGGTTTCTAAGCTCCATCAACAGCTTGTGCCAAACTTGAGTTGTGTCCTTGCCCAGGCTGCTGACAGTGATGATGAAGAGTCAGATGAGTTATTTTCGGGACCAATTGGGACCTTTGACCTCGAATCTGATCCTTGCTCTACGCCAAAGACAGCACAGGAGAATGGTCACTTGTCTTCTGAAAGCCAAGGAGTAGACATCACAACTTACGGAGAGTCGAACTTGGTGCCTGAGCCTCAGAAGGTAAGGAAGAGGCAGCAAGGGATGGCCTGGCTCCTGGAGATCTGTTTAATGCCTCTCAAGATGAGAGTCTGTCAGCCTGATCCACCTGGCTTCCTTTTCCGTCTTAACCTCTTGCTCTCCAGGCAGCTGAGTTTTAGACAGGGTTAAGCTGATATGTGGCACCAACTGGTTAGGTCATGTAGAAATGACATCTTTCCAAATACTTTACCTTACTTTGTTAATTTTTACTTTTGCAGTGTTGAGAATGAAATCCAGGCCACAAGTAGGGGTGGATTGATCACACCAATAAAGTATATAAGTGAAGCTACAGCAGTGAGCATATCACTACATGTTTCTTCACGACCTTAGCTGTGTGCCAGTGCCAGGCTTGGTGCTATCTAATATTTGGTCTACTCATCTCTCTTACACTGGGAGTCTTAGTCCTTCTAACTTCATGTATGTCTGCACACCAGAAGAGGACACCAGATCTCATTATAGATGTATGTGAGCCACCATGTGGTTGTTGGGAATTGAACTCAGGATTTCTGGAAGAGCAGCCAGTGCTTCCAGCCTGGGATTCTTAGTCTTGATGTAAATTACATCTGATTTAAAAAATGTTAGGATCTGGGGATGTAGCCTTGTTGGTAGAGTGTTTACCCAGCATATGTGAAGCCCTGAGTTTGGTCCCACACTGGCTCCTTAAATTCTGGCTCATTAAAATTGGGCATCAAAGTACACACTTACAATTCCAGCACACAGCTTGGAGGCAAGTGGATCGGAAGTTCAAGGTCCACATAGTAAGTCCAGCCCACAGCCTTGGCAGCATGAGAACCCTGTCATAAATAACAATATATAAAATGTAAAAACAAAAGTGTGGTTTTTTTTTTTTTTTTTTTTGTTTTTTTTTGGGGGGAGACGGTCTTACTATCCTAGAACTCACTATGTAGATCAGGCTGGCATCAAACTCACAGAGATCCAGTTGCCTCTGCTTCTGAGTGCAAGAATCAAAGGTGTGTACCATTATGTCTGGCTTGAATTCCTTCTTGATTTCCAACGTTTTCATCCCAAACTTACTTTTTTACAGTAAACTGATAGTGAATGTTTTTCTTTGCCTATTTCAGGTGAATAAAATAGAAATTCATTATGCCAAAACTGCCAAAAAGATGGACATGAAGAAACTGAAGCAGAACATGTGGAGTCTGCTGACAGAGTTTCCTAGAAAGGAGGCTGACATAGAGGTAGGTGACAGCGCTCAGGTTCTGCGGGTCCCCGCGTGTAGGAGGGAGAGCTGGTGTTTACAGCTCATGATCCCTCAGTGTTGTTCATGGCCCCAAAGCAGAGAGATGCAGTAAGAGTTTAAGAAAGACTTCATGCTTCTATGAAAGAAACTGTTCCAGCAGAGGAGTGGGCAGGTCCCATGAAATCGGCACACGTGGCAAGCTAGTGCCTTGGCCGCAGTTTTCCCTTACTGGGGATGCTGCCCTAACAACTGAATTTCAGCTTTCCAGTATCGATGCACATTTGGAGTTCTTAACCAGTAGAAACTTAAGTTGAAACATGACCTTTGACAGAGTAAACTATGACTACCTTACAGGTGTCGGAAAGTGTCTAAGCTTTGAACTGACATTCTCATTTGGAATGCTTGTTCTCCACAAGAACACTGGAAAAATAATCACATTGCCAGGTTCTTTCTCCTGAGAGTAAGGTGAACCCTGAGTGACTGTTCAGACCTAGCCCGCTCTACAAACTCCACACACACATTCTGCTGGCTGAGCAGTGAATTTCATGGTTACTGAGGACCCTAAGCTGTGTGGTCTTGGATGTATCAGGGAAAGCCTCAGCTCCTGTGCTCCTGTAACAAACAGCAGAGACACTTAACCTCACACAAAAGCTCACTTGTCTGCAGTGGGTCACCACCATTGCTTTGGTCTTATAGTACTTTACAGAAGCACCAAGGAGGGTCAAATCACTTGTAGGGCGGCTAGAACGTGAAAGAAAGACCAAGGGCATATTGTCCACTATCCATGGGCACACCTCTGTGACCTTTCACCTCTCTTTAAAATTCCAGCACCTCAGCTAGGCGTGGTGGCACATGCCAGACGCAGGTGGACCTCTGTAAGTTCCAGGCCAGCCTGGTCTACATAGATAGACCCTGTCTCAAAGAAACAACAACAACAAAAACAAGACAAAAATCTCAGCCCCTCTTAAGAGTGCCTGTGGGAACTAAATTGAAACATCTCCTTAGGTCTTCAGGAAATAAGAGTTTATCCTTGCTTCATTCAGTTCACTTTTCTATATTGGATATAGAGTTGTACAAATTTCTGTTGTTTGGAGCATGAACTTAAGCATTCAGTCCATAAATAATGGTGTTTTGGGTAGGCAAACCACAGAGTCAATGGAAAAGAAGGGGACCCCGAGCAAGTGACTGACGAGAAGATGCTCAGTGGGCTCACGAAGGACCTGCAGAAGAGGTGTGTGCTGACAGACGGGGATGGGGCCATATCCCTTCCCCATCCTGGTCAACTTCTTGGTGGGACTTTTTAGCCTGGCAGGCCCTCTGTCCATGGCTTGCTTTATGTAAACACTTACCTTTTGTTTCTTGATAGTTTGTAGGTGTGTGTGTCTGTCTGTCTGTCTCCTGGGTTATATGATCTACTCAGTGCTTCTTCATTTCCTCCAGGCTGCCCCCGCTCATGGCTCAGAACCTCTCCATACCTCTGGCTTTTGCCTGTCTCCTGCATTTAGCCAATGAAAAGGTAGGTCATTCAAAAAGTACAGGAATGTTTGACTCTGCCTTTTCCTGCCAGCTCCCTGGAGCTTTTATAGCAGATCTTCCAGGATCCAGCCATCAGTGGGTAAGAGCCCATAATCCTATTCAGAGGGCCTTTGTTCAGTTCCTGGCACCCATTTACCCATTACCATACACAACTCTTATAAACTCCAGTTCAGGAGTTTCTGACCAATTAGCCTTACACACGCACACACAGAGGAATAAAATAAAATAAAAAAATCGATGGGCATTGGTGGCACACACCTTTAATCCTAGCACTCAGGAGGCAGAGATGGTGGATTTCTGTGAGTTTGAGGCTAGCCTGATGTGCAAAGTGAATTCCAGGACAGCCTGTTACAGAGAGAAACCCTGTCTTGAAAAACATAAATAAATAAACAATCTTTTTTCCTTTCTTTCTTTTTTTTTTTTTTTTTTTTTTTTTTTTTTGAGACAGGGTCTCTCTGTGTAGCTCAGGCTGTCCTGGAACTCACTCTAGACCAGGCTGGCTTTGAATTCATTGGGATCAAAGGTGTGTGCCCTAACCACCCAGCTTAAAAAGAAAAAGCTATGGGGACAAGGGTGGTGGGCATCTAGCATCAATCTGTGGTTAAGGGATATGGCAGTGCAAGTGTTTCTGTGGGGTTCCAGATACAAACCTCAGATGCCAAGAACCTGAAGAAAGGCTCAAACCTTAACTGGGTAATTAACTGGGGTATTGTCACCATCTTAACAAAGGTCATCGGTAGGCACTGCTCTAAGTCATTAGGAATAGGAGTGGCTTCACTCAGGTCCCCAGCTCTGGCAGCTCTGTCCCCCCCCCCCCCCCCCCCGTGACCTCAGAGGCCTTGTTATCTGAAAAATGCTGCAACATGGCCACGGCTCAAAGCCCTCACAAGCTGAATATGGGATTGGGCTTGGGTCATTTTGACATTTCCTAAGATCAGAGTTCTGTGATGACTCAGAGCTTAGCACCTCCAAGGGAAGCATTCCCCAACGCTTCATCCCACACCTTCATCTTCCTACTTCCTTACTTAGCTGTTTTTACTTTACGTGCATTGGTGTTTGCATGTATGTCTGTGTGAGGGTGTCGGATCCCCTGCAACTAGAGTGACAGACAGCTGTGAGCTGCCAGTGCTCCTGACCACTGAGTCACCTCTCCAGCCCCCTGCTCTTACTCTTAGTCACTCCTGTGTGGACCCTGTCGGTCTATCAATCTAGTTAGTGACCTCCCCTCGGATGTGCTGTGTGGTTGGGGCTTAGGATTCAGGGATAGATGTTCCTCTTTTCTTCTGCCACCATAGCCAGCAGCAGAAACTGACTGGTCAAACTGGAAGCACCTTTCCCCGTGCTAGAGGTGAGACTTAAGGCTTTCCATGTAATAGGCTAGTGCTCTCTCACTGAGTGGAGTCCCCTCGTCTCATGGCTTCTAGAACCTGAGCTACAGAGCACCAGGCAGGCACAATAGGGAAGACAGTGGGGCAGATGCTGAGCCCCAGGACGTCTCTCACCACCGCACCTTTGAGGCAGGGGTGCAGGTGGGGAGATGCAAGGAAGAGAAGCCACTGCCTGAGGTGAAGATGAGACAGCTGGTTGCTGAGCAGAGGTGCAAGGGCAGCTGTCATGGATGTGACAGTTGGGGGATGGGGTTATGGACCCGTGGAGGAGGCCAGACAGGTTAGTCACGTGTGCCAAAGCTCTTGGTGGCCTCCCTTCCGCATCTCTTCACTCCCTTCGGGCAGGCGGCCTGGCTCTTTAGCTTCTGTGGGAGTCGTCACCCCCATCTGTTGAGAAGCAGCTTTGTACAAAGTATTTGCCTGGGATGATTTTCCTTGTAGTGATGAAACAGACCTCATTCTCTGTAGTCACCTTGTCTCCTCAACTAAAATGTGTGTCAGGTTTTGTTCTCAGTCTATCAGAGCCTGTGTATTTCTTTTCTTCCCTCAGAATCTGAAGCTAGAAGGCACTGAGGATCTGTCTGATGTTCTTGTGATGCAAGGAGACTGAGGCCACCTGAGACGGCTGTGGTGGGAGACCCTGCGTTCCAGCGGCACTGGAGAGACATGCTGGGGTGGTGTGGCTGTGGCCAACTACCACAGTGCTGTTGCTCTCCCCCTCTTGCCACCTCGGTCTGGATGCCACACTGCAGCTCCATGCCATGGAAGTTCCCACATGGTGCCCATCCACCTGCATAGGGGCCTCATTGGTCTGGAGTATAAAGTCCTCTGTTCTTTATATCCATGTGCTTCTGGTCACTAGAATCCACTTTCTGCTCTGTACTGATGTAGAGAATAGTTTCTCAGCAGCTTCCTACTGCTTTTAAAGAGTTCTCTGTTCCATGTACATAACATTCATCATTTGTAAACTTAATTGTATAATACTCAAATAAAACCATGTCTACAATATCAGTAAACATTCAGTATTAGCATCACACCTGGTTACTCCCCTCAGCTATCCAGGGTGCCATGACCCTCAAGGCAGGACATATATAAGAGCAGGAGGAGACCAGGTCGCGTATAAGCACCTATGGATTCTGGGGAAGGGTGGCAGTCGCAGACGATCTGTAAGTGTTCTCTCCCCCTTCTGTGCCTCAGCACCGCGGTGAGGAACCCAGGAGGGCTGGCTGTTTCAGGGGTGGGCCTTGTTGGCCCATCTTGCAGCCACCTTGATGCTGTGCTGCTGTAGTCACTGGCTGAACAGTGGCTCACTGACTCCCCCTTGTCACACACACCTCGATGTCTCCATTCCTAGTCAGCAAGTCAGACTCCTATGCCTGCCCTAGGGACTGCAGAGCCCTCCTTTCTGTCCTCTGTAGCCACACTCCAGGGACAGGGCCACTCAACATTCCCAGATATAAAATGTCTTCCCATAACCTCAAGGAAACCAGGATAAAGGTGTTGTGAAATATTAGTTTCAAGATGTGTTTAGGCTATGGATTATTTGTTTAATGATACAAAGATGAGTTGCATTCCTTTATGTTGCATTTGTTTAACTCTGTAAAGCTGTGTTACTTTGTCTAACTAAAACACACTGTCTAATAAAGTACTGAACAGCCAATAGCTAAGTAGGAGAAAGGATAGGCGGGGCTGGCAGGCAGAGAGGATAAATAGGAGGGAGCTCTAGAAAAGAAAGATCATGGAGAGAGAAAGGGAGGAGAGGAGGCCACCAGAGGTCAACAACCCAGTCACACAGCCAGACAGTAGAAGGAAAGAGAGAATAAAGAAAGGTACAAGGCATGGAGGCAAGACATAGTTAAAGAGAAACAGTATAATTAGAAAAACTGGCTAGAAACAAGCCAAGCTTATAAGTCTCCATGTATTTATTTAGGAACTGGGTGGCAGGCCCCCAAAGAGTAAAAAAGCAAGTACATAAAGCTTCTTGCAGTGTGCCGGGATCTGGGATGATGGGCAAGAAGCAAGAGTGTGCAGTTAGTGTTCCTTATAACTTGCTCTAAGCCCAAGCAGAAAGCAGGGCCTTGCCCTGTGCAGCTTCCTGGGGAAATGTGGATAGACTTGTGTTCATCCAAAGAAAAGATTCCACCCGTCTTGATTGAAGCTGCGAGTTATCAGGTTACAGGGGCATGGGAGATACGGCAGCTATACCATCAAGAAGCTGATGGCTTACAAAGGCTGCGTCCCTAGTGCTCCCCGCTCAGCGGGAAAGCAGCTCCATCAGTCTCGTCCTGCAATTGTCCGCTTTTGTATGGCAGGGCCTTGTGAGTCAGGTAATGGTGATGCAAACTTTCCGAGTGTCAAGAGCCCCCCTCACTAAGGGAAGTTTCAACATGAAGACAAGAGCCACACAGTTCCCCTCAAAACTGCTTTCTAAATTATGTTCCATAAGGTCTCAGAGTTATGAACTCCCAAGAGACACCAGGTCTTGCTCAGCTTTTGGTCTCTAGCTAGGACTGGCCAAGCCTTTTCCTCACCAGCCCATCACTATAGCAGGACATCTTATGTTTTTCCCATTTACCGTTCCTTTTCAACCAAAACACTTTTGGGTGTATGGGATATAATATACAAATCAAACATTCACTGATAATAAATTTAGAATAACATGATGAGACAAAGACTCTTCTTAAATCTAAGTGCTCAGTAAGGCATAGCTACATACCTCTTAATGACCTAGAGAAGTCTGGGAGTAAGATGCCTTCTCTCCCCATGTGGCCCTCTATCAATACGCTGGGAGCTGCCTTCCTGAGATGGTCCAGCACTCATGCAGGACCTGAACTATGTCCCAGCATCACTGTGCACACTTAGATCTCTCCATTCCCAGTCACCACCAAGTCCTGATGCCTGCCACCTGTTCTGGGTTACGGCAGACTCCCTCCTGTCTTGTATGTCCACAGTCCATTTCTGTCTAAAATGTTCGTGTCCTCTACCTGGGTTGAGAAGGTCCTGTGGAGCTGGGCCCTATGTGTCCAGTCCCAACTTCCTATGGCTGTAGTATGTGCACCAGCCACAGGGCCAGGCTCCCATCCCTGTCTGTCAGGATGCCTTCCCCACACCAGTTCTGCATGGTGACTGTCTTAGTTACTGTCACATGGCTGTAAAGACACCGAATAAGGCAAGTTGTTTTGTTTTTGAGACAGGGTCTCTATGTAGCCCTGGCTGTCTTGAAACTCTATGTAGATCAGACTGGCCTTGAACTCAAAGATCGACCTGCCTTTGCCAACCTAATGCTGGGACTAAAGGTATGTGCCACTATACCTGCTTAACTAAAGCAATTTATAAGAGAAAGCATTTAACTGGGGCTTGTTTACCATTTCAGAGCGCAAGTCTGTGACTATCACGGCTGGGAACATGGCGGCAGGCATGGTGCTGGAGCAGTAGCTGAGAGCTTATATCTTGGTCAGAAAGTTGTAGGCAGGGAGACACAGACTGGTTCTGGGGTGGACTTTTGAATCCTCAAAGCTCATACCCAGTGACACATCTCCAACATGACCATACTTCCTAGTCCTTCCCCAAACAGCATGACCAATCGTGGAGCAAGCATTCAAGTATATGACCCTAGGGGGGGGGCGGGGGGGGGAGGTCATTCTCATTCAAAACACCACATTCTATTCCTTGGCCCCCACAGGCTGGTAGCCATAACATAATGCAAAATGCATTCAATCCTATTTCAAAAGTCCCCATAGTCCATAACAGTTGCAACACTATTTAAAAGTCTCTCCTTAATTGTAATCCCCTCTAAAAATAAGATTACATAATTCCAACACACAATGGCACATTACCACCCTGAAAGAGAGGAAAGGGGGCATAGTGAGGAAATACTAAACCAAAGCAAGACAGCAGGGCAAACCCCAAATTCTGCATCTCCACGTCTGACGCCAGAGGGCTTGCTTATAGGTGGCTGCTCAGGTTTTCCAGTCCTCCCAACTTTGCTGACTGTAGCACACCTCTCTCCTGGGCTGGTCCCACTCCATCTGCAGCTCTCCTTAGCAGCTATTCCATGGCTCTGGCATCCCCATCATCTTGAGGTCTCCAAGGCAAGCCAGGCTTCACCTTCACGGCTTCAAGAAATGGCCTCTTTGGGCTGCCATGTGCCTGCCTTCACCGCCTTTCCTTAACGATGGAAGAACCCATAACCCTTTTACTCCTGTATTCTTGACTAAGGCAGAACCATGTTGCTGATGCAGCCAAGTTCTGCTTCCTGCTTGGGATGGAGCCTGTGCTTTTCCTCACATTTGCATAAGCTTCCACTGAGACGGATGTTAACCCCTTTTTTGGTTTTGTTTTGTTTTAGCTGGGCAGGGTCTTGCATAGAGGGCACTGCTCTCTCTCTATTCTATTTCACATCAGGCCTTTCGCAGAATTCAAGGTCAGCCTGGTCTACAGAGTGAGTTCCAGGACAGCCAGAGCAGAGAAACCCTGTCTCAAAAATTTAAAAAAAAAAAAAAAAAAAAAAAAAAAAAAAAAGCACATTTTGCTTTGTATATACCTATGACAGGGCAGTAGGAAGAGGACTATTCAGAAAGGATAGACTAATAGGAAGATGAAAAGGTGAGCAGAGTCTATGATCCCCATATATGAAAATGTTATAATGAAACTTGTTCATGCTTAAAAAGCAGCCAATTAAAAACCAAAGTAGGCTTTGGAGAAAATGCAAGAGGACAAGTGCAGGTTCGCGGCACTCTGCTCGGCTCAGGGCAGCAGAGGCTGATGGACCTGAACAGCCAAGACTGGTGAAGGCTGCACCAGAACGTCTTTTGACAAACTGTCACCTCTTTCCAGTGGCCTCCTGAGTACTTAGCCTGACTGAGCTGAAGAACTGGCCAAGCTATAATTCTGTCAAATAATTTCAGGACCACGGTGCTGCCTGTGTTACAGAGTCATACTCTTCTCTCCAGGGTTCCCTCCTGTAGGCCCAGCTGCGACAGGACCACTGCCGCCGAGGTTTGCCCTGGGCTACTTCCTTGTCTGCCTCCTTACTACAGACTCAAGTGGCTTTGCTCACATCCTTGTCATTTACTATTGTTGACACTCTTCTACCAAAAAACCCCTTCCCTCGAGTAACTTACAAGTGACCCATTGGTCACTAAGGATGACCGGCAACTAGTAGTGACCCTGTGATTATCAGGACAGCCACATTCCCTAAAGAATGGAAAGCGGCTCAAGGTAAGTACTGTGGAACATGGGTAGAACTTCAAATCCACTCCCCCACCCCCCTGCTTGGATGACTTCAAGCAAGCTTTCCCACAAGAATGAAAACAGGCAATATCCAACAGGGTGCTGCTAGGAAGACAAAATAAAACTAGGTGTAAGCCATTCCCTTAGTCCCTCAGAACGGCCCCAGCACCAAACACTTCTACCACAGTTCATGACACTACTCGTCCTGTTTACCCAATGTGTTTAATTGTAAGAGCTACAGACGGACTGTTGATAAAACCAAACCCTGGCCCTTCTCAGAGGTCTCGCAGCTCCGTCCTCACTTCTTAGGGCGGCAGAGCTTCTGGATGTCTTCAGCCAGGCCCAGGCAGTGCATGATGCGTTTCCTCTCAGCAGCCAGGTCCTCTGCAGAGACCTGGCCCAAGAGCTTCTGAATAAATATATCCTGATCTTTCAGAAAAATGTTCTTATCGACCCCTACATTTGGCACATTATCCAGGGATCCAGATTTGAATTGGAAGCTTAAGTATCTGTTTCTTTTCAAACCGGGCCCTTTCTCTTCAATCCAGCACAACAGACTGCAAAGACAAAAATCCCTCGTGTTAAAAAAGCATACTGGAGGGCTGGAGAGATGGCTTAGCCGTTAAAGGCTAGGCTCACAACCAAAAAAGCACACTGGACAGAGCCAGAGAGAAGGTAAACACATACAGTGCTTGTGGTACAAGCACGAGGACCCAAGCTGAGATCCTCAGCTCCCACACTAAAGCTGTACTGGCATGGTGGCCCACTTGTAATTCCTGGAGGGAGAGTCAGGGTCCCTGGAAAGCTGGCTGGCCAGGCTCATGGAATCTGAAATGTCTAGAGTCAGTGGGAGACCCTGCCTCCTCAGAAAATAAAGTGGAGACTTGTCAAGAAAGCAGATGAGACTCAACATCAGCCTCTAGCCTCCGCATGCATGTGCACATGTGTAAGCACACACGCATGAACATGTCACACACATGCCAAAAACCAAAACAAAAAAAAAAAAATCACACAGGAGAGCAGATGGGTACTCACACCTGACTTCATGTGACTGACCCATCTTCCCTGAAAGGCTGGCTCACTGAGGTGACTCAGAGGCACCCTGATCTCCACCGCCACCCAAAGGCTACCGGTGACTGGGTTTCCAACGTTACTGTGGACAGGTCTTTGTCTTGCCATTTGTTTGCCATTAGGGGACTTCTGTGTAACCACTGCTTTGCACCCCGAGTCTTATGGGTTGCTCTAAGAGAATCCAAACAGGGAAGGCAGGCAGCCACAAGCCATGAAAAACTGAGAACTGCTGTAACTTCATGTGTGAATTCTCAAGAGTTACTTCACTGGATTCTCCAAGAACACAAGTTAGCAAACAGCGTCCTGTTGCTAACAAAGCACCTCTATGTCCACTTCAATTTCTCGACATGACTCAGACTCAACTTTCTCCAAGATAGCCCTTCACCTGTGCTGTGTCTCCTTATGGAAAACAGAAATCTCTGCCTAAGTTGATTGTGCTCTCAGGCAAATACATCATTGAATATTAAAGAGTAGCAAAAACAGCTGATCAGACTTTACCTAAAAATTATTTTGCAAAGTTCACAGAACAAACTGGGTGTGTTGGTAATTCACAGAGTCTCTGTGTGTTAATTGGGGCTGGCGTGGCAACAGGACAAGACCAGGTGGCGGGCGGAAAAACCATACTACTTACAACAGAACAAGCTGGGTGTGTTGGTAATTCCAGCTAAAGTATGAAAGTCTCAAGTTTGAGATGGGCTATACAGTCTATACAGTAAATTAAAGGCCAGCCTGGGCTACATTGAGATCCTGTCTCACAAAATAAAAAACTAAGAAAAAGAAAATTATGATTAAGATTAATTTGAATGTACTTTACTCACTATTTTTACCTTAATTCTGAATAAAATTTGAGTTATTTGAGTTATTGCAAATAGTTTTATCTACCTAAAACAACTTCATATATCCTTCCAAATAACGCAGAGTGTTATGGTTTGAGGCAATGCAAAATACCCATGTTTCTTGCACCTCAACTTCCTCATAGCACAGGCCTATGTATATGCTCAAGCTCAAAAGGCTGAGACAGAAGGACTGCTGGAGCCTAGGAGTTTGGGGTTAGCCTGGACAATACAGAGGCATCCTAGCTCTAAGATAAATAGAAAAATAAGTAAATAATAAGGCTTAAAGTAATTACTTGCATAACCTAATTATTTGTTTAATTTCTGTAAGCCATTATTTATCTGATGGCAACTGAACTTACATTGTTCCTTCACGTCTCAGGGTGTAAAGGATGGAATGACAATACAAACTAGGCGAAAGTTCTCTCTACAGACATTTGTCTTGGGTCTGGAGGCCAGGGGATGGTCCTTCAGGACTTCCCAAAACTACTCTATGACCACCTGAGGGAGTAAGAAATCTCTCTCTTACTACTTCTCACAACTCACCCCTTGTTGTGGGTCTCAAGCTGCACAGTCATTTTCAGATACTGATCTTCTTTTCGGTCTTCCAAGGTGGCAGAAATAAGAGAAAGCTCCCCAAAGAGGCAGACCAGCCAGGTCAAGCGAGAAATGCCACTGAATGCAGGGAAGCCAAATCTCTCTTCTTCCAGTGGGCTAGCTGCAAGAAATCACACATGTCTCACAAAGACTCATGCCCAGGGAAGCTGGGGAAGGGAACACGGCATGTATGTGTACAGTGATCAATAAAAGATGAAACGCAAGGTTGCCAAATGGAAAATGTTTCTTTTTAAAACATACAGTATTAGGGGTTAGAGAGATGGCTTGGTGGTTAAGCGTACTCACTGCTCTTCCAGAGAACCCAAGTTCAATTTCCAGCACCTACAGCTCACAACTGTCTGTATCTCCAAGATCCAGCATCCTCACACAGGCACACATGCAGGCAAAACACCAATGTACATAAAATAAGAGTAAATCTCTGGAGACCAGGCTGGCCTCGAACACCCAGAGTTCTGCCTGCCTCTGCTGGGATTAAAGGCTGGCGGAAAAATTTTTTTAAATTCAAAGTTGCTAGTAAAATAAGACAAACGAGCAACAGGAGTTGGTACAGCCAGAGAGAATGAAAATGTCTGTTGTTTTGTCTTTGTTTTAAAGAGAGAGAGAACTGGGTGAGTACTGTGGAGGAGCCAGGAGGAATGAAGGGAGAGGAAAACGTGATTAAAATATATTGCACAATTTTTTTTTCTAAGAAAAAAGTCCTTAGAAAGTTTCACATTTCTATTTCTAGTATACTGGATAATTAGGTATGCATATGAAAATAAATATTCATATATAAGTACTTATATTTTCAATAAATGAGTTAAAGAGATCTGGTAAGTGGGAAACTATGACATTTTAGCTTTGAGACTTAGATTCTTTAAGTATGTACTGCCTGCCCAGATGGCAGGAGGGTGTCACCATGACAACCTAAAGTACAAAGGAAACATTAATGCAATTAGTCTAATTCAGTATCCAGATAGTTGTCTCTGCTGGGTGGTGGTGGTGCACACCTTTAACCTCAGCACTAAGGAACTAAGTGTGACCTTTGTCAAACTTGCCTTTCTGAGTTCATGTCTTACCCATATCACAAGGATAATGAACAATGGCTTCAAAGGCGAAGAACTTCAGTATCATTTTAAGACAAACACATGCCACATTCTCAGCATTTTGTTGCTCAAGTTAATGGCCATGCCACTTCCTGTCGTAACTCTCAAGTAATTTTCAAGAAAGAAGACATCCTTGCCACTCAATAATGCCCTTCTGCACAGAAGGGCCTCCTTTATGTAATAAAAGCCTTGGTGAAGGGACGTACAGACACTCAAGGGTGGAACAGAAAGGACTCAATCCAAGGTGATGCTAAGATCTGGACAATTACCTACAGTTGCTACTTTAAGAATGACGGACAAGGGGTTGGAGTGATGGCTCTGAGGTTAAGAGCACTGGCTATTCTTCCAGAGGTCCTAAGTTCACTCAACCATCTATAATGAGATCTGGCGCCCTCTTCTGGCCTGCAGGTATGCATGCAGGCAGAACACTGTATATATGACAAATAAATTTTAAAAAAATGATCAACATAAGCTGGACAGTAGTGGCGCATGCCTTTAATCCCAGCACTCTGAAGGCAGAGGCAGGAGGATCTCTGTGAGTATGATACTAGTCTGTTCTACAGAATGAGTTCCAGGACAGCCAAGGCTATAGAGAAACCCTGTCTCAAAAAAACAAAATAAATAAATAAATAAAAATAAATAAAAGAATGACCATCATAAAAATTCAAATTGTACATGATGGATGACTGGTTTTGGAAATATCCTTGTAACTTGATGGAGGAAGTAAAAGTTGTCTGTTCTGAGTAAGATGTATGAAAACACCCCCCTCCCCAAACATCTATTTCCCAATCCTCTGAAAAGTTTTCACCTACAATATTCTATAGAAAAAAAATCTCCAAGTAGTTTCATATCTGCAGTGATGAGGACTGTGACCAGGCTCTCTCTGCTGGGCCAGCTCTCTAGCCCTGAACTCCTTTCCCAGCCCAATTAAAATATCACCAAGAAAAGTTCTGCCTGTAAGATTGGGACAGATGCACCCTTGCAATTTCAGACTCACCTTTTCACTCAAGGTTGCATCAAGCGATCAAACCTCATTAAGGGAAAAGCAAAACCAGAGTGACAACTGATCTTCACTGTCAACTTGATTCCATTTGTAGTGACCTGGAGTCACACTTTCGGGTGTGTCTTTAAGGCATCTAAGAGTTTTACATGAGGATGAACCCTATGAAAGCCTGTGGCACCCACGCCATGGGCTGAAGTCCTGCACTGAACAAACAGTAGAAAGAGGCAAAGTGAACTAGGTGCCCGCACTCAGCACTCACGTCCCTCTACTTCTTGACAAGGATACAAGGTAAACACCCTCCAGTGCCGACTCGGTGAACAAGGGGCTGTGTTAACTCCTCAACAGCAAGCAAGAGGAACACTGCCTGAAGCTGCCTATGTCAGGTGTTTGTCATAACTAGAAAAGTTATTAATCTAGATGTTATGGTTCTTGTATAAAGTTCTCTAAAGATAATTAAAATAAAGATAATACCAAAATGGTCCATAAGCCATGCCTTTAATCTCCTTTAAATCTTTCCCCTTCATTTTTATGTGTATGGGTGTTCTGCTTGCATGTTATGTCTGGGCACCACACACTTGAAGTGCCTGCCTCCAGCGGGTCAGATCCCCTGGGACTGGAGTTCTCAACAGCTGTAACCCACCATGTGGATGCTGGGACTCAAACCTGGGTCTGTGGAAGAGCAGCCCGTGAGTGCTCTTGACCCCTGAACTATCTCTCCAGACCCTTTAGTCTCTTTGTGACACAAATTACGTGTGCAGGTACCACTGAGACTCAGGGATATGTTCCTCTCCTACTCTGCACTTGGCTCTCTTCAACTGCTTCCTGTCTTTCAGCTTCAATAAGCTTATTACCTTTTCCTCATTTTGGTATGACATGAAATGACACTACAGAGGGAGTGTGAGGTCAAGAACCAAGCTGCACCCGAGTAGAGGGCCCCAGGGCTCTGAGAACTTCTACAACGCCCGGGTGACAACTCTAATCTGAATGGTCTCTGCTAGAAGTAGAGTCAGTGCAGAAGACGGCTGGTTTTGGGGCTGCCCCCTGTGAGCAGCTCGAACCGACCTGTGAAGTGAAGAGATCCTTTCAGCAACTCCTTCCCAGTCACTTCCTTTCTCAGGAATGCAAATTCTTCCATCAAGAGTTCCACATGCTCCTCATGCAGGACTCTCCCTGTTGTGACAAAAGGGAATAATGGGTGGCCATTACCCACGGTGTACAGCTAGCTGTGTGCTTGGAGGTTGTGCCATTCTTCCTCCAGACCAGGATATAGTATGTCTACAGGCAGTGTCCAGAGCACACATTAGGACGACACCTCACACACCAGCTGACATTAATGTTTGTGGGCTTCTAATGTCTCTAAATCTTTGTGAATATTTATTTTTCTGGTTAATAGTGTGCTGTAGAATAATCCTTCTGTACTCTGTGGAAATGTGTTGCTCTCATTGTTAATAAAAAGTAGATTGGCCAATAGCTAGGCAGGATTTTCAGGGCAGAGAGAATGCTGGGAAGAAGGAGGGCAGAGTCTCCAGAATCATGAGATTGGCAGAGGGAAACAAGATGAAGTGGTGTATTGAAAGAAGGTACCACCACAGAGTAGAGGGTAGATAAGAAATATGTGTTAATTTAAAATGTAAGAGTCAGCTAGTAACAAGTCTGAGCTATCAGCTGGACATTTATAATTAATAAGTCATTTCTGAATGGTTATTTGGGAGCAGCTGCTGAGACACAGAGAAACTATGCCTATCTGTGGGAGGCACAGAGGTTCCTGTGCTTACAGATAAGCACAGATAAGGGTTTGTTTAACCAAGAATGTTAAACACACAGGACTGTCCCTTTAAAGGGAGGGACACATAACCTGTTATCTACCCAGAAGGCTGAGAGCAGAGGTGGTTAATAGCCTGGTGACTTTTGTGTGCAGACCCTTATCACGAGCTCATCAACCTATAGAACCTATCTTGATGGAAAGTGTCACATGTACTTTACAAAGAGTTTTGATGTGGTCTCATCTTAAGCTTTATTATGTACAAGGGATTGAATTAATCCTCACCAGGAAAATTCTCACCATACTGTGCTGTGCTTAAATATGCCTAAAATAAACTACTTAGGGGCAGCCTCCTGAAGTGTTAGTCAACATCGGCTACTTAGATGTGTTGAGCTCAACTACCTTCTTGCCTCCTAAGGGTCATTACTTTACAGACCCCTGCAGATGTCCTAATGAATGTGACATCTTTTGTAGTTTTTATTTGCATTTCTTTAAATATTGGGTGCTGTTTTATTTGTTTGCCACTTTGGAAAATGAAAATTTCTACAATGTGCCCTTTTTCAGCTAGGTTACTTGGTTCGTTTTTAAGCTGCAGAATCCTATAGATGCTGTGAATGCTACACTTTTCTGAAAGATGTGATATGCACATAGCTTCCACGGCAAAGGATGCCATTTTTCACACTATTCCATCTTTCCTTTGAAGCATCAAAAGCCTTGACATTTTGACAGTTTTATCACATGAAGAAGCTGCTGCCACCTCAAATGTTACAAAGGATAATTTCTTAATAAATGGTATTTGGAAAGGTGGATATTCACATGCAAAATACTACACTACATACTTATCAAAAATCAACTCACAACATGTTAAATACTTAACTATAAGCTCAAAAACTGGGAAACAATAGATGAAAACACATGGTAAATTCTTGAGAACACTGGCTCGGTGTCTGTGAGAAAATAACATCACCAGAAACAACTTAGCAGAGTTTAAGATCCCATCACAGTAGTAGGCATGGCAGGAGGCAGCAGGTACCAGGCATGCACAGGGCATGGGACCAGGCATTTGGAATGGTGTAGGCAGCAGGCATGCATAGGCAGCAGACACTGAAGCAGGCAATAGGTATGGCAGCGAAAAGGAAGCTGAGTGAACACATCTTTAGCCAAACACCAAGTAGAAAGAAATAGAGAAGCAACCAGATAAAGGACAGGGCTATAGGATCTCAAACCTCTCCAAACTGTGTCATTAACTGGGAACCAAGTGTTCAAATCTGAGCCTATTTGTTATTCAAATCACCATAACAGGACTAGGCAAAGATTGCTTAGGTAAGACCACAAAAGGGCAGACTACAAAAGCCAACCAACACAAATGCCATGATATCAAACCAAAATGCCATGTATAACAACAGAATAAAAACACTACTTACAAAATGAATTAAAATACTTGCAAAATACAGATTCAGTAAGGAGTTAGTATCCAAAATATATAGAGAACTCAACAGGAAAAATGGTAATAAAAATCAAAAGTTAAAATAGGTAATATAAGTAGAAATTTTTCTAAAGAAGACACACAAATGACCAGTAGTTACAAGAAAAAAATGTTCAACATTTATCATTAGAAAAATGAAAATATAACTCACAATGAAATATCACCTCATTTTATTTAGAATGGCTATTATAAAAAAGGCCAAAAACCTGCTGACAAGGATGTGAACCGAAGGAAAGGGCACCCTACACATTGCTAGCATGGCTCATAGCTTACTGTTATTACAGAAAACACTGTGGGGGGTTCCTCACAGGGTTCAAGATAGACCTAACACGACCCACCAATCTCATTACCACATGTGTAAACCACAGAAAATGGAATGCCAAAGAGACATCTGCACCCCCTTGTTCATCTCTACACTCTTTCAAAAGACTCAGAACAAATAAAGCAGGGCTTGCCCACAACAGAATACTATTCTTCCATAGTGAAGCTGAAATTTGTCATTTCCAACAACGTTGTCGAGCCCAGAGGGTATTATGTTAATGAAACTGAAATGAGCCAGGTTGAAATCCTGTCATTTCCACTAATGTGGGTAAGCCAAAAGGGCATTATTATTATTATTATCATTATTATTTGTGTGTGTGTGTGTGTGTGTGTGTGTGTGTGTGTGAGAGAGAGAGAGAGAGAGAGAGAGAGAGAGAGAGAAGTTTTATTAGAAAGGGAAGGGAGGGGGAAGGAAAGAGAAAAGAGGTAAAGAGACACAGAGACAGAGAGAGGACAGAAGAGAAGAGGGAGACAGGAAAAGTCCTGTCTGCCCCAGGGGATCAGCAGGAAAGAGGGCCGCAGTCTTTCTTTTAAAGGGTCCTTTGCACCTGTGTGCAGACTCTGAAGCCATGGAAACCTGGGCTGACCAGGGTACCGCCTGAGTGCATTCTACCAGGTGCCAGGGGCAGGCCAGCGTAATTCCTGAATCCTTATATTCCCACCTTTATTTATTATTAGAAAGGTGAGGAGTTAGGTGTGGCAGGTTAGGGAATAAGAACATCGAGTTCTAATGACTATTTCCTGCTGACTGGGGGGCATCGGCCATCTTTGGAGGACTTAGAAAGCTGGGGTGCTGCCACATCCTGAGGTAGCTGGTTGTTTCATTGCAGTCCAGGCTGTATGGAACTCTCTGGTGCCTCTTAGACTAGCTGGCTGCGTGGACAGCTGCTCCCAGTGTCCTCCATAGTTGATGAGGGCAGAGGCTTTAAGGACACCTGCTTTCTGCTGTTAGCATGGGGCTGGATATGGTAGTGGTGGATGGAAAAATCCAGAGATCCTTAGTTGGAAAAGTGACTGAGTTGAAAGTTACAAGGTCCTGTGTATCTCAGTGTGCCACAGGCAGGAGGAAATATGGGAAAAATCTGCTGAGTCACATGCACCAAATATTATGATAAAGCGTCAGGGAAGCTTGGCGGATTCCATGGCAGGTGAGGGTGACTGAGATGGGGGACAAACATGCCAGGCAGACAGAGCTTAGTGAGAAGCTTTATTAGAAAGGGAAAGAGGGGGAAGGAAAGATAAAGAGGTAAAGAGACAGACATAGAGAGAGAGGACAGAAGAGAAGAGAGAGACAGGAAAGGTCCTGTCTGCCCCAGGGGAACAGCAGGAAAGCAGAAAAAGACGAGAGGGTATTATGTTAATGAAGCTGAAATGAACCAGGTGCAGAAAGAAAAATGATGGTGCCATTCACTATGTGGAAATAGAAGAAGCCAATCCTATGGGAGTAGAATAATGTTTATCTGAAGGTGGGGGAGGGAGACAGGAGAGAGGCTAGTCACTGAATACAGATTTAAAGGAAGAAGGGACAGCCTGTGCACCGTCCAGTTGGGTTAGTCCAGCAGATCCTACGCCATCCAGGCCATATCCAACCTCTTGGTCTAACCTAGATCGCATATCCTGTGGTCTGTCTAGAGAGTTCGCCAGACTCTAGCCTGCTCTCTCCTTAACCCCAGACCTAAACAAGATCACACAGGCTCATCCTTGGAACCTTACCTGCCTGTACCATACCCAACAAGCCTAGCCTGGGTAGCAGAGACTATTTGTCAGCCTGGCTACCCTGTTTAGTGGCCAAGATCCTGGCCCACCCATCCTATCCTATCCTCACTCCTAGGCATAGCTAAGTTATGGATATAGCCACGTATATACCATTTGCTTTCTTTCTTATTGCTTTATTGCTTACCAGGAACTGGAACCAACCCTAAATCTGAAGGTATTAACCAACTCCTCATACCTGATAGAAAATTAACCGGACTTGGGCAACAACCAAAACAAAAACATACTTCCATTCAACAGAGAAAGTCTAGAATCTCACACTTGACACACAATCAAGAGAAGTCCACATGCCTAGATCTCACTGGGAAAAACACAGTATGAAAGGCTAGACAGTATGTCTCCCCTCAAAAGCCAGCAGTTCTACAGAGGTGTTCTCCAATGAGAATTGTTGAAAAGAACAACCAAACTTACACAACTGATGGAGTTTAAAGAAGACAAGCAAACAATGAACTTAGTGAGCTTAAACAGGATATCAATAAACACCCAAGCGATGCTCAAGAAAACTCAAGCACAAGGCTGAACAAATGACAAGGACAACTAAGGATTTGAAAACTGAATTCAGAAAAGAGACAGAAATACTGAAGAGAACTCAATGAAATGAAGATAGAATTGAAAAATGTAATAATCCAATTATAAAATTCATGGGAAAGCCTTAAAGTAGAATGGATAAAACAGAAGATAGAATATCAAGACTTTGGGTCCCTCCAAACTGTTCTTAGTTCTGTTGCATGGAACTTTCAGACACCAAATGGACAAAGCTGCTTGACTTTGACCTTCCAGCCTCTAGTGGTATGAGCTAAGTAGATCTCTTTTCTTCATGAATCACCAACCTCAGATCTTCTGTTACAGTAATAGCAATCAAAGATCTCTACCCCCAAAGCTTGATATGAGAACTAAACATACAATGTGCTTAAAAGAGTTTCCTGGTATCCGGTGAACATTTAATACTCCCTTAATGGAACAAAGATACTATATACATATAAGACTATCAATTACTCTGATTTGGGAATTTTTTCCTCTAGTAGGTATCTGAAATACAACCAAAATATCAACATTATGACACCATCACATATGGAAACCAACCCACTATTCCATTAGAACAAAGCCAGGAGTCTACAAACCCCTCCCTATCCTTCTAATTGACACACTTCCCCATGCATCTAGAGCCTGGGGACAAAAGGGAGGTGGGGAAATCTTAGCACCAAAGCAGATGCAGATAAAGCAAACTACATAAAAGGCAAAAAGATGGTACCCTAGAAACTCAGGGGCAGACACCTGGCATAAGGTCTATGTTCCAGAGTCAGAGAATATGTCACCTTTCTGTGCAGCCAGCTCCCACAGATCCTGGGCCGCTGTAAAAGACAGTGTCATGGGGAATTCCACGAGGACATGCTTCCCAGCCTGAAGAAACTGCCTTTGAAAACAGAAACACAGCGAAAGGACACTTGAAGTAAACACTCAAGTGCCCTGTATGTCAGAGAACTCCACAATACACAAGAATGTAACAAACAGCTAAGAGTCAGTGTCCTGCAAAATAAAGAACCATCAACGCCTCAATCTTTGTCTATACTGTGAGAAAGGACTTTTCTAGTTATAAAATCATTCGACTATTCATCAATGCTCAAACTCTGGTTTGCCTTCTATTACTGTGATGAATACTATGCGTAAGGATTCAGGCATTATGCTGGCCTGCCCTGTCACCTGGCAGAATACACCTACCTGGTCAGCATGCAGGTGCAAAGGACCCCTTTAAAAGAGAGACCCCCACCCACCTATGTTCTCTTTCCTGCTGTTACCCTGGGGCAGACAGGACTTTTCCTGTCCCCCTCTTCTCTTCTGTCCTCTCTCTATCTCTTTACCTTTTTTCTCTTTCCTGTCCCCTTCCCTCCCCTTTCTAATAAAACTTCTCACTTAAGCTCTGTCTGCCGGGCATGTTTGCCCCCCTACACCTCATTCACCCTCACCTGCCATGGGACCCTCGAAGATCCCCCTCCCACTTATTCCTAACACTATGACCAAAAGCAACTTTCATCCCACCCCTTTTAGAGACAGGGTCTTACGATATAGCCCTGACTGTCCCAGAACTCACTCTGTAGACCAGGCTGGCCTGGAACTCACAGAGATCTGCCTGCCTCTGCTTCCTGAATGCTGGGATTAAAGACGTGTCCCACCACTGCTCAGTCTGACCAGAGGACAAGCAGAATTTTCTGTGTTGACCATAAGTTACATTTGCACAGTTTTAGCAAAGCCTACCTGCATCAAGAAACCTACCTTATATAGTCTTCATGGCTGGAACTCTCACTACAGATGTAGGCGACCTCAGTCTCTTGGCTACACAGAGCATCTTCCAAAGAAATCTGCTGTATATCATCAATGCTCCCGAGCTCTCGTCTGTGTCAGAATAACAGAGTCTCAAAAGTAGACAGAGCCTATACTTACAGCATTAGTCTCCACTCCTCCCAAAAACTGCCCAGGGATGGGGCTTTTGGAAAGTAAGAAATTCATTTCCTATTTCCTGGTTATTTTTTACTGTAGAGTGAGAAAAGCAAGAAGCAATATTAGGGTTGAAGTCAGGGGACCTGGAATGCCAGCACTGCCACCAATAGCTCATAGAAGCCAGAAGTCTTTCAGTTACTTCTCTAAAATAAAAAGAATCAGATCCTTGCACCTCACATAAAAGGATCTTTGGGTTATCTATAGTGATATGTTGTTTGTGATCAGAGGGCAGAGCTAGCCACAATAGTTAGCTATAGACTATACGAAATTGATCCAGTCAAAAAGAGCCAGGCAGAGGTGGCTCACACCTTTAATCCCAGCACTAGAGAGGTGTGGGAGTAGTGGTGTGGCTGGGCAGAGAAAGGAATATAAGGGAGGAGGAGACAGGAGCTCAGAGCATTCAGTCTGAGGATGCACAGGGACAGGATTGTGTGCATTCAGTCTGGAGATTCCTAGGGACAGGATCCCCTTGGTCTGAGGATTCAGTAGAGGTAAGAGATCTCTTTTATGGCTGGATCCTTTACTTCTCTAACCTTGCAGCATTTACCCTGCTATCTGACTCTGGGTTTTTATTATTAAGACTTATTAGAACTCCTGCTAGTCATTTCCTACTAGAATACTAAACTCCTGGTCAAATACTGTGACTATCTCACCAAGCTGCATCTCACACATGCATCACCCTGGTATAAACTACCATATACTCCAAGCTGCTTCACATACTTCAAGGCTTGGTGACCACCATGAGACAAGCAAGCATCCCTGCCTCCATTACAACTGGCCCAGAGAGGTTGTAACTGCCACAGCTGACCCGTGGGGCCAGGATGGAAACCCGGGTGACTACCACTGACATAGAACATAGTAGTAAAAGAGCCAAGGTCGTGTCACTCTGTATCATACCCCAGTGCATAAGCTGTAGGGAGTGAATGGCTCTAGAAAGATGCTGTGACTAAACCACATGGGGGCAGACAGCAGAAGCTCCAGCCAACAGCAACTTCAGCCAAGAAGGAATTCATGAGCTACTCAACCCACACTGCTAGGTTTGACCAGTACTTATTGCTTGCCTACTGTGTGCTGGGCACTGTAGGGGAAACCACGGAGAATGAGCTCACACTCTGAGAGAGGCATGGAGACACACACACACACACACACACACAGCAGCACCACCAGCACCAAAAGGACTAAGTGAGAGTTATCAGGGAAATGAATGGGAGACTGAGGAAGCCCAGGAACACATCTGGTATAGGGTTTCAGGACAGGCTTTCTAGGGGAGAAACAGAACTCAGCAAAGAGACCATACACAAGAGTGTAATACTAGCAGGATGCATGCGGTAAAGCAGGGCTGTGAGTGTGCCATCTTCCCTGATGACCCAGGGAGTTGAGGAGGTCTCAAGGCATGCACTGTGGCAGCTAACTAGGGCTTAAGGAAAAAAAATGTTTCCACTTCAACCTTGAGGGTGCATTATACTAACTTCAGGTAGGGTCCACTGGGGTGTGTTGGCTAACAACAACCATGATTTTCCTGTTGTGTGCACCCCCTACCCCCCGATCTGATAGGGAAGAAAGGACTAAGGGAAGATTCCAGCACATACAGTTTTCTCTCATGCCTAGAGACAGGGGCCAACTCAAGTCAGTCAGACTGGAGGAGTGTGGTCCTGTGAGTTAAAATACAAAAACCTTCCATGTGAACCACCACTAGTCATTTATGATTTATGAAAATATTTATCTGTTGGGCATAGTGACTCACACTCTTAATCCAGCACTCAGGAGGCAAAGGTAGTTCTGTGAGTTCAAGGCCAGCCTGAGCTCCATGATAGCTATGGCTACACAGAGAAATGTAACATGAGTTCTAATAGGTCTTAATAATAAAAGCCTCTGGAGTTAGGTACCGGGGGTGGGGGGTGAGGGGGTAGGGGGTGAAAGCTTAAAAATCAGAGAAGCAGAGCTCTTAGCGTTACAAAATCCTCAGATGGAAAAGAGATCAAGTTCCTGTCTCTTCCCCCCTATATTCCTCTCTTGGCCCACGCATTTCACTTCCCATCTATCTGTACAGACCTCCAGATCTCTATGGTTAGCTAGTGGCTAGCTCTGTCTTCTGATCTTCAGGAAAGCTTTATTTGTTACACAAACAAGATATCACCACAGAAAAACCCCGTCTAGGAAAAAAAACAAAAACAAAAACAAAAAAACAAAAAAAACAAAAAAAAAAAAAAAAAACAAAAAAAAAAAAAGAGAGAGAGAGAGAGAGAGAGAGAGGAAGAAAAAAAGGAAAGGAAGGAAGGGGATATTTATGTGATGTTCTTTGGAGCACGGGAAGTAGAGACCTGCCTGGACCTGTCCCCAACACCGTCACCCCCAGTATCTGTGTCTACTTCATAACTGATCCAGCATTGCAGAGGCTTAGCTGGTGAGTGGGGTGAGGGCCGGCCTGACCATGAAGAAAGGAAGGAGGAGAGTTCAATTTAGTTTCCACTGAGTTACAGTGAAGAAAACCCAAACAGAAAAGTACAATAAAAGCAGAAAGGGACTTGGAGTGGGGGTGCAGGGGGTTGGGACGTGAGGGGAAGAAGCAACCAAAACAAACTTTTGCTTACAAATGCCACAATGAGACCTAATAATTTGCGTGTTAAGCAAAAAGCTAATTTAAAAAGTTCAGCTCAATACCAGTGTGATAAGAACAGTGTTGGACTCAGACACTTTCCTTTAAATGTAATCTCGGGTTTTCCAGTTGTCACAACCTCAACAAGATCACTGACCCTTTCTATGCCCATGTTCCCTTATCTTGAACTGGAGTTGGCAACAGTCCTGGGAATGGAATGGATACTATACTATACTATACTATACTATACAATACAATACAAAGCCACCAGGAAAACTGTTCTGGATGACAGAATGGCTAGGCGACATACAGCTAGACTTCCTTCAGGCCAAACCTCACTGGGGACTTTCTTTGGTAAACAAACACCGTGCTCACTTACTGCCCCACATGGGGCCTGCACTGGGCATCACTCGCCAGGCACTCAGCTGAAGGTCCCTGACTCGACTCTTTAGTTCCCTGACCACTCCAAACTAGAGGGGTTCTGGTGACCACACTATTCGTGGTTCTTGGAGGAAGCTGGTTTCCCCTTACTCTGGGTCTAGAAAACATCCATGCCCTGTGGTGATGTCACTCATCATGATTTCCATGAACCGTGGAGCACAAACCAAGTGGGACTTACCTGGACACAAAACCAATCAGGTTCAGGAATGCTGTTGAGTGTGGATCCCTCAAGTCCCTTATCCTCACGGCGCCAGCTCTGCCAACACCAACCACTACCACACCAAATCTCCTTTCAGGCTGAAATACCAAAGACCAATGTGGGGTTTGAAAACGGGCCAGACATCTAATGGAGTACATCAAAACAGAGGGCTAGGTCGGGCTCTGGCAAGCCAGGAAAGCTGACCACCAGGACATGAATTGGAGTAGGACTGCCCTAGAAACCATATAGTTAACTTTGTGGACTGTAGCGGAGAAGTAAGAGCCGCCTGGACAGAGCCCCCTGACTGACTGTAGGGACACTTCCCCACTCAAGCATGTGGTCTGGCAGGCCTTGCCCCTTTCCCCCATTCCCTCTGCCTTGCTAAAAACTGTCAGATTACATTCCTAAAGCTAGCCACCAAGGTCTACCCCTTATTTGACCACTTCCTCCCCCTGAGACTGATTAGCAAAGTCCAGCATTCAAAAGTCCCCTTTGGATCACCTAATTAACATGCCCAATTAAAAGCAAACACCTCATCCTAACACTGGGTTTCCCAATTTACCTTTATAAAGTGCCATTTGCCTATGGGCCACTTCTGTCTCCTCTCTATCCAGAGGCAGTCCCTCCAGAACAAGTATCCCTGCCCCTTTCCCATGTCCCCTATCTCCCTTACCACCACATCCTAGCCCATTCTAACACAGACCTCCCCTTTTTGTCTGCTTAAAAATGACACCTGCAGGGTCATTTGCTGCTGTTTTTCTGCCTGAGACAGAAAGTGGCCACTTTAACTTTTCTTCCCTGTCTAATAAAGGATCTCTGTGAAAACAGGTGTTTGGGTGTGGTCTGTGCGTAACCCCAGGTCTGACAGGGAACCCCTCCTTGTGCAGGAATCTCCTTCAGTGACAGCTGTGGAAGCAGATGAGCTCCTGGTTGGTGGCTAGAGTGGATAATCCAGGAAGTCATGAAAAGTATCTAAGAGGCAAATGACCAGAGACAGAGTGCCATGTCATAAAGACCCTTCCAGAAGAATATGGCCAATGGTTATGTTAGTCTTTTGTTTATATGTATTTGCTTATATTTGATTATAGCAAATATTTGAAGTAATCAACATATAAAAAGGCTGTTCTGACTCTTTATTTTGGAGGTTCAAGTCTATGACAGGTTGGCCCTGCTGCATGGACTAACTTAGGGTAGGCAGACATAGATAACAACCCAGAAGGTCCTAATATTCTTCTATCTCCTAGAGCCATGTACACCCCATTAGCCTAGAGGAAAAATGTTTACCTGCTTGAGCTATTTCTAAACTCTTGGGGGGGGTATATTGAATAGGTGAAATAATGAACGCTGGAAAAAAATATCCTTGATCAGGTGGCCTTGCTGCACGGGCCTAGAGGGCCAGCACACTCTGCCAGAAGCACACAGCACATGGCAGATGAAAACCCTCACTTCATGGCTAGGGGCTGAAAGGGAGAGGCAGCATAGAGACCCATAGCAGGCAGGTAAAAACTCCGGGCAGATCATTTTTCCTCCATCACCCACAACCATGCACAAGTAGGTAGCCTAGGGGAAAGTGTTTTTGAAAAATCTTGAAAGGGAAAGGATGATCTATGAGAGAAATATGGCACACTTCAGCAAAAGTATCCCTTAAAGCCTTCTGCGTGGAACTCACCTCAGCATTCATCTTGGTCTCTTCCGTAAGTGGCTTTGAAGATCGAAAGAGGTTCAGGACGCTGGGGACACTGGCACAAATTCTCTCTGAATACGTTTTCACACTTAGCTTCAGATGTCAAAACTGCAGGAGGGACCTGGGAAGAGGAAACTGTTGTGTGAAAGGCATGGACAGTGGGTCCAGTTAAAAATGTCTTTTTGCAGCCTGGCTGGTCATCACCCCTTGCAACCGCCACCCCCCACTTCTGTTGGGTAGTGACCCTCAAGAATCTTTCCAAGTTCCTGTTTTTCCCTGACACTGGAACATTTTCTTTGCCTTGCGACCTTTCCCTTCCTTCTTGGAGGAAATGTTGCAATTTGGAGACCATGCCGTAGAACAGGAACATCAACTGAAGAACTGCCTACATCAGATTTGTCTGTGGCCTTTTCTTAATTACAGCCAATTGCTACAGGAAGGTCCAGGCCACTGTGGGAAGTGCCACCCTATGCCTTAGGCCACATAAGAAAGGTAACTGAGGAGGGAGAGAAAGCAAGCCAGGAAACTGCCTAGGGCTTCTTCTGCCTTGAGTTCCTGCCTACCCTTCCTGTTCTCAGACTGAATGCCATGAGCGCCTGTCTCCTCCTGTCTTATATTCCTCTGTCTGCCCAGCCATATCACTCCTGCGTCCACCTCCTGGCACTGGGATTAAATGCCTGAAACTCTCAAGTATTGGAGGATTAAAGGTGTCAGCCAGCACCACTTGGCTCTTTCCTTTAGACTGGATCAATCTCTTGTAGCCCAGGGTGGCCTTGAACTCAGAGATCTGTCAGCCTCTGCCTCCTAAGTGCTGGGATTAAAGGTGTGGCCATCACTGCCTAACTGCCTGACCTCTACAGCTAACTAGTGGCTAGCTCCACGCTCTGATAGTCAGGAAAGCTTTTTTTCTTTTGGTTTTTTAAGACATGGTTTCTCTGTAGCTTCAGAGTGTGTGTAGAATAAAAAAATAAACTGACCAAATTTAAATTTTATTTTTGTAGTATTAGGTCCTCCATGTTTTAAGATCTATTAAGATGTAGATTATCCTAGATTTTGTCAAATATTGGCAGAAAAGGGGTGGGGGGAGAAGTAGGATGCTGTGTCAATCAGCTTTCTATCACCATGACAAAACCTACACTTTGTATGTTGTCAAGCCACACCATCAAACACAGCCTGAAACAAATCTGCTCAGGTTCGACACTATCATTATATGTTAAGAACTATTCTTTGAGGCCAGGCATTGGTGGCGCACGCTTTTAATCCCAGCACTTGGGAGGCAGGGGCAGGCAGATCTCTGTGAGTTCAAGGCCAGCCTGATCTACAGAGCTAGTTCCAGGACAAACTCCAAAACTACAGAGAAACCCTGTCTCAAAAACAAAACAAAACAAAAACAAAACAATCCTACTCTTACAGAAACATACTAGTTTCATTAGGTTCATATTTCCCTATCATTTCTTGGCATTAACCATAAAAGTAGTATATCTTTGGATTATATTTGTTAGGACATTTTATTTATTCATTTTTTGGTTTTTTGAGACAGGGTTTCTCTGTTAGACAGTCCTGGTTGTCCTAGAACTCGTTCTGTATACCAGGCTGGCCTAGAACTAGAGATCTGCCTGCTTCTGCCTCCTGAATTCTGGGATTTAAAGGGTGCACCACCACCAGCATTAACTTTCAAGTAGGAGATAACCTCAGCCTTATTTCTGAGTTCATGCAACCTACAAGGAAATCATTCACCTTCAGTTTCCAAAGAATAAAGTGCAGCTAGGGGAGATTAAAGAACATTCCTGGAACAGTCACTCAAATTTCAGGGCAGATTTCAAAGTCTGCATTCTGGAGATGAACCGGAACGACAGGCTCAGTCCCACCAATTAGCAGCGATAAACCCGCCAGTCCACAGGAGGACCGAAACTATCAACACTTTTAAATGAGATGCAGGTTTTATTTGTGTCACCATCTGCACTTGGTAACGCCCGGTTCCAGAGCGGAGTCTCCTCCGGCTCGTCGCCACCTGGCCTACGAAGGGTCGGGCAGAGAGGAGTGGATGACCAGGGTGCTCCGTGGTCCCGAAGGGCGGCAGGGTGGCGCGGGCCTACCGACAGTGTCAGCTTCGGCCTCCCGCTCTCGCCTCAGCACTCCTGGAACACGCGCCCGCCCCACGCCCTTCCTGGGTCGGAGCTCACCTTTTCCGCCACCGCCCAGCGACAGACTCCAGCTCTCCCGCAGTCTGTCCCCGCCGCTAGGGGTAGCGAAACGAGCGGCGGCTGGGGTTCGATTGGCTGGCAGCTGGGTGGGCGGGGCTCCTGCCGGCCCGCCTCTGCTGCTAGCCCAAGCTGCTGAGTTGAGCAACATTTCTTAGGTCACGCCCTGTGTCCTGTGGAAGGTGCAGTATTTTTACACATATGGAACTGCCTGAGGCTTTTTTCTGGTGGTGGGTACAGTCGAACCCTTTCTAGTTTAGTGGCCCAAGCACAATTCATCTGATACAAGTTTGTTTCTGCAAGAAGCTAAGATTCTAGGAAAGTAGCGTTTGTGATTCTCTGCCCTCAAGGTTAGGAAACATTTTCCCAGGGATAGCCTGGTCTCTCCCTAGGCATGGCCCAGGAGTAGACACACTGTAGAGGGAATCAGGTTGCTCTGCCCGTCTTAGGGTACAAGGCAGAAAAGTAGAGAGAGGGCATGCAAAGGAAGAACTGGTCTCAAAGACTGAAGTCTGTTCCAAGACAATCAGCATTTCCCCTTTTGTTACTCCATGATGAAGCTAATAGTGTTTTGTTGGCTGCAAAGAGAAATCAAGCCTTTATTTCTAAGTGGTGTTTTGTGTTTTTCCTGAAAAGGAATAAACAAAATGTCTTCACTGCAGATAGGGTACCGAGCACAAACAATTACAAATGTAACTTGGAATCTGACCACTTTTTACCTCATTCCCATCATCGCCACCCGAAAACTTAGAATTGCTACCCCCTCCACCCCCCCACCCCGTCTCCCTGCATCTTCCAACCATACAGCAGGCAGAGTGAACTTAAAAATAATAGCTGGGCTGGAGAGATGGCTTAGCAGTTAAGAGCATTGGCTGCTCTTCCAGAGGACCCTGGTTCAATTTCTAGCACACACATGGCAGCTCACACCTGTCTTTAATTTCATTTCTAGGGGATCAATCACCCTTACACTCACACATATGCAGGCAAAACACCAATGCACATAAAAATAAACATCGAAAAAATTAATTGAAAAATAATAACTAGCCGGACATGGTAATACAGAGTAATCCCAGTACTTGGGAGACAAGGGAGATCAAAGCCAACCTGAGCTGCATAAAACCCTGTTTCACAATAAAGACTAGGACCAAGGAAGGAAAGATGAGTAGATTCCCATGTGCCAGGCAGCCTAAGTCAGTGAGCTCCAGGTTCCTGGGAGACCATGTCCCAAAACACAAGATGGAGGGTCTGGAGAGATGGCTCAGCCATTAAGAGCTCTTGTTGCTCCAGCAGAAGACCTGGGTTTGATTTCCAGCACTCACATGGCAGCTCACAATCATCAACCACCTGTTCTTTAACTCCAGTGCCTCATCTGATGTCTGTTGGAACCAAGCACATATGTATGAGTAAGTTATCGCGGTTTAATAAGGATCAGGATAAACAATTAGGCCGAACAGATGTTTATTCAAGGAGAAATAACTCACAACATAGACAGGTGAACACCAACAGGTTCCTGCTTCCAAGAATGCCTCCGGAAGTCCTCCTGCGGCTTGCTTGCAAGAGAGCGCTCCCCTGCTCCTCCTCAGACCTAGTAACCCAGGTCACTTCCATCCCTGGCTCCACCCCCAACGGGCGTGGTCAGTGCCCGGAAGGAGACAAAGTGAATATCCCACTACAGTAAGTCATATTCTTTTTAGTTGTTGTTTTGAGACAGGGTTTCTCTGTGTAACTCTGACTGTCCTGGACCTTACTCTGTAGACCAGACTGGTCTCAAACTCATGGATCCACTTGCCTCTGCCTCCCAAGTGCTGGGATTAAAAGGCATGTGCCACAGTTACAGAGTCTTTGTGCACTGTTAAGATATGTTGCTCTCACTGTTTAATAAAGAGCTAAAGTCACTAGCTAGGCAGGAATAAGTAAGGAGGGACTTGCAGACAGGGAGAAAGAGGGTGTGGGGATGAACAAGTCACCAGTGGAATGTGGGGAGAAGCAAGATGAACAGGTGGTGCTGAAAAAAGGTACCGCCACATAGATAAGAAATATGGGTTATTTAAGATGTAAGAGCTAGGCTGGGCGGTGGTGGCACACCCTTTAATCCCAGTACTTGGAAGGCAGAGGCAAGTGGATCTCTGTTATTTTGAGGTCAGCCTGGTCTACAAAATGAGTGCCAGGATAGGCCCCAAAGCTACACAAAGAAACCCTGTCTCAACAAACAAACAAAAAAAGATATAAGAGCTAGATAGTAACAAGCCTAAGCTATTGTCCAAGCATTCATAACAGTAAGTCTCTATGTGGTTATTTGGGAGCTGGCTGGTGGGACAGAAAAGTCCACCTACATGTCACCACCACCTGGCTAAGTCATATTTTTAAAAATGTTAAAAACTAATAAGATAGTGAGGAAGAAACATGATCTTGACCCAGAGGTCAAGCATTTACATAATTATACGCACACAGCCACCAAACATGTATATATAACACATATGCAAGAACATAAATACAAGTAACATTATACAGACTGAGCAAGTTGGTTTTATGTGTGTGTGTGTATATATATATATATCATAATTTTCATCTACTTAAATTATAAAGAAGATATAGACCCTGATGGGAGATGTCAGTCTGTAAATATGTTCCTCTTACTGATCAATGAATAAAGCACTGTTGGCCAATAAGAAAGCAAGATAGGCGGGACTAGGAAAGGTGGAGGATTCTGAAAAATGTAGTAGAGTCACAATGTGATCTCAGGAGCAAAGGAGTCTGCAGTTCTCAGTAAGATAAGACCATGTAGGAATACATACATTAGTGATTATGGGTTAATATTTAAGACAGAGCTAGCCAATAAGAACGTTAGTAACCGGCCAACAGTTTCATAATTAATATAGTGTCTCTGTGTGTTATTTTGGGACTGACTGTGGCTCTGGGACCAGGCTGGTGGGAAAGTGCTCATAAAAAGACTCAAAAAGCATAGATACGTTTTTTATTACACATTCAATTAA